TAAATTGACATTTTTGTACTCTTGATTTCTTGTGCCTGTAGGGAGTTGACGTGGAATATCTTGCCAAGGTCACCCAGGGATTCAGTGGTGCTGATCTGACAGAGATCTGCCAGCGTGCCTGCAAGCTAGCCATCCGCCAGAGCATTGAGGTGGAAATAAGGAAACAGAGGGAACGTGTGGCAAACCCAGACCTCGACATGGTAAGTTTGCAACATTTCTTTTTAGAGCTTACGACACGCCCTCTGGTAACAGTTACTCTGTGGTCAATTTCTCAATCTAAACAAGTTACTGGCTTCGAACCTTGACCTCGCAGGAAAAGTAACCCGTACCAATATCTTATCCTTCGCATTTCCTTGTGACGTATCCTCTGGCAACAATTCCTTTGCTTTCATTTTCTGTTTCCGTTTGAATTCTTAACCGTAACCCTGGACCCAAGACTAGAACTAATGTCATGGTAACAATTCACTGTGCGTCTTTTTGCAAGTGTGTGTTGGCAGCTGCAGTTTGGTCCTAGGTTAATTCCAGCGATTCGCACGTCATTCTTACAATCCCTCGTGTGCACCTTGCGCCCTCCTCACAACTCCCCTCCCCCTTACATTAAAGAATCCTTTTGAGGTGAACTTAAAACCTCCATGCAGGTGGCTTGCAACTGTTGTGCGATGTGTTACGGCTCATTATAGCTGTGAACATCACCAAATAGCATGTACGATGCTTGCATAAAGGCCTTGCGATGGTTGCAAATAAATATAACAGCTGCACGTGTCTTGCATGTTATAAGATTCAGAAATGTTTAGTGAACCTGTGGTAAACTTTGCACTGGTTGTTTACCTTGGCACATTTGAACGATGCCTTACCTGTTGACTACTGAATTGTTTAATTTCCATAGACTTAATACTGGAGCCACTTGGTTCCAGGAGTCAATGGGTTTACAGTTCTGATATGATTTGTTCATATTTTGTATCCTGTTGTTTTTGAAGGAGACGGATGAAGACGATCCAGTCCCAGAGATCACCAAGGAGCACTTTGTAGAAGCCATGAAGTATGCTCGTCGGTCGGTCAGCGACAACGACATCCGCAAGTACGAGATGTTCTCACAGACACTGCAGCAGAGCAGAGGATTCGGTACCAATTTCAGGTCAGTTGAGCAGATCAAATCAAGAAATAGTGAATACAAAACAACAGTAAGATTTGAAATGAGACATACATGTATGGATGCCATGAAAATAGAATAGATTGAGTAATTAAACTTTGAATCTGATGAAATTTAGCTTCTATCCAGAATTGTTACCTTTTGCCAAATTTGGTAAATATCCAAAACAGGTCACACTTATAACTTTAAAGTACAAATTAAAGACAAAAATGTGTGTGAGATGATAAAGATCAAGAAAATAGCCCTGAATTGAATTTCTTCTTTTACAATTGAAGAAGTTAAGGTTTTTTTACCATTTGGGATATGTGGCTGTTACCATTAAGCTGAAACGTATTCTTTTATATCCAGCATTATAATGGTCCATTTTCATCTCTTGTTTATGTGCAGATTCCCAGAAGAAAGTGGTCAACCAGCTGGTCAGGGCACCCCAGGGTCTGGGGGAGGCAATCCTAATCTCTATCAAGACAACGAGGATGATGACCTATACAACTAGATTAGTCGCCTCTGTATCAAACAGCCACACAAAGATTCCAGTAATACAAGAGAATAGTAATGATGAAGTTAGAAGGATTATTATATCTGGGTGTTGTGTCCCCTCAAGGATTGTATATTATTATTGTAATTCTTTTTCATGTTCATTTGTTTAGGACTGTATAATTAATAAGGGAAATTCAACCAAAAAAAACAACACAAACCTGTAAGGGCTTAATCCTGAGGGTTATGCAACAATATGGAATCCGTCTTGTATACACTGTGTGATATTTAACATGTCGGTGCACACAGAACTGATTTATTGTAGGAACCTAGAAACTAAACCATCTTCAAATCTCTTTTGATGATGTAAAAAAAAGGTGTAAAAATTGAAACTTGAAACTTGTAGTGATGGAGAAATTATCACATTATTATATAAAGGCAGTAATTCTTGTAAAACTCTTTATTCTACCAGAATAACAGATTACATGTCCATAAAAGGACAAAAATAACAAGATGTTACACTGTAATGATGTTTAATCTTGAGGAATCAAATGAAAAAAATGTTAATTCTATGAAATTGAAATGTAATTTAAGACTTTGAAACTGTAATTTATGGTAGGTAGTTCAAGGTGGTCTCATTTGTTAGCCAAGCTGGAAAAGCTTACTCAAACACTGTCTCGCCAAACAGAAGATTAATGTATCCTGGGAAGGTGGTTTAGTTACCAAATGAATTTGCAAGCTTTGATTGGCATGGATTTGACTTCTGATGCAACTACATTGCTCAGACTTAACAAACCCACTGAGATTTTTTCTAATTTTGACAGTCCTGTTGGAATGTTTGAATTGTATGACTTACAAGTATTGATATAAACGATGAATGTATATCCTGTACAGTCAAGAATCTGGAAGAATTGTTCACTGTTTCACTGGATTAAATCATAATACAGAAGTGGAAGTGAGCACATATTTATACACTTATTATTATTTAATCTCTCATTTTTATCCATCTTCTTTATAAGTTACTTTCTTTCTTCACAAAACAATGCTATTGTGCTGATTAGATATTTGTTACAGAATGAAGTCTGGAACAAGCAATATTTGATTTTTATATATCTTGTTTTTCTTTTTCTTATAAAGAATGAACTCCTTAGTTTGGCTAATGCACAACTAAGCCAAAAAAAGTGTACTATGTGTATTGTAAAGTTTCTAGTGCCGATATTATAGTATGGAGTATAGTGCACCACATTTTTGTGTGTTTATGATATGTTTTTCGGAACGAATTAGAAAGGAATGTAGATGTCATGTTGAAGATTAAAAGATTCTTTCTGAAGCTTCATTTGGGGTCTTTTATTTGTGACTTACACTACAGCCTGACAAATGAATATTTGCCTTTAAGCCATTGTTACAATCTCCATCTATTAGATCATAAAAAAGGGGAGAGTTTTTCCTGAAACTTTCCTCTAAATGTTTGATCTGCTACACTTCATTTTTGTTCAGACTTGTACAATGACAATGAAAAAAATATTACCATAATTCATTCCACCTGTGTACATGTATAAGGACCATATGATGACAGAAACCCAAAATTGAAGCAAGTGATAGTGCAATTAGGATTGTTTTTCTGCTTCAGATTAAGCATTTAAGTTCAGGAACTATTACTCTATTATATCAACAAACAAGTAAATGGGTTGAATTAAAAGGTAGAATCATAACAACTTTGTTTTCCAGATTATATTTCTTTGATACCAGAGCTCTAGTGTAAATTGAAGAAGTCTCAGTAAATTAAAAAAAGAATTTTGTAATAACACTTCACAACATACATACACACAATACTGCCACATTGATGGTAACTTCATCAAAAGTATGACCATTCGTAATTTTGTATGCATTCATTCTTAACTTAAGCTACAGCGTGCAGTTTTTATTAGGATTTTACCTAAAGGGATTTAGGGATACCTCTATTTGTTCCAACTCAAATGAGCATCTTCAGATAGTTGATTTGAAAATCAAATCATTCACATGGTCACCAGAGTTATTTAAGTACACCATTGGATTACCAGTATCGAAATAATTTATAGAGAATATGTGTCATTTAGTGTGTTTTTTTCATGACCAATTTGCAAGATATAGAGAGTAATGTTATTTAAAAACAAATCAAGAGTAAAACAACATCTATGAAGTTAAGGAAGAATTTACAGTTCAGTTTGTGCTTCAGTTACTCTTATTTTTGCAATTTTCTGAACGTCCGTCTCTTCTGCTTTGAAAAATGAAGAATAAAATACATGTTCCATTACTTGAGTGTTTGACTGCTTTTAATTCAGTTTGAATGTTGTTTCTTACAGGGGTGTGTCTAAAAAGGAGGACATTTGTAGAAGATGAATATTATTTCAATGTGTTTTGAGATAGTCAAATGATATCACTTTGATGAATTTTCCAATAAAGATATAAAAATGTCTTCATTTTAAAGTTAATACATGTATTATTACGTTCCCAGTGATATCAGATACTTTTTTTTACTCTCTATATTATGTCCTTTTATATAAATCTCCCCATCTGTTGGTCCACCCCCTTTTTTGTTCCTTTTCTATTTTCATCTCCTAATACACTTCCATGAATAATTTTGCTGTAACATTGGTTTTTTATTTGTCTTTCATCTCTCTGAGTAATTAGTCGTTAACATAATTAAAGTGAACCAATCACCTGATAAAGTAATTAGTGTGTAAATGAATGTATAAAATCAACTTCAGATTATCCATATAAGAAGAAGAAGAAGAACTTCCAACAACTTTACCAGGCATTTCATAGGTAAATGTATGAAGAAAATAAAAGATTATATAAAACCTTGGCTGTGTGCGAGCCATTTGCAGGGATTTATCAATTGGCACTCGATATAGTGAATACAAAACTATTAGAATCCAGGGTTGATATTTTGAGTTCAATGTTATCTTTCTTGTTAGAAATAATAAATAATAATAAAAATGTTGCTTATAAAGCACTTATCACCGAAGGCTCTAAAGCGTAAGAGGATCTTTATTATCATAAATCAAAATTAGAACAAAATTACAAACCTGGCTGCGTTCACATAAAGATAAAAAGCAGACATCGCACAAGCACTTATGCTATGGTAAGTGTTATGAGAATCAATATAATTTTCCCTTACATGAAAGATGACAATGTTTTCAGGATATGGCCCCAGACAACCAAATCTTTTGCTTTAGTAATAACTTGTCTGGCATGCTAGACTAGACGTATTAGACTCGGTTCAAGACACCCCTTCACACACGCACAAATGCTTTATCATTTCCGGATTCTGATGATGTCATCGCCACCCAAGAACAAATATCGGATATCATAGCAATGTCGGTACGGTTATTGAAACGAATTTCAGAAGGATCGATCGAATAGCTAACTCGGATTGATTGATTGTCCTGAAAGCAAAGAGTCGAGTGTCACGGAATTTGCCAGATGTACACTCGCCGACGAAGATATATCGACTTCAATCGGATTTGTAAGTATTAAATATAACGTAGCTTATATCATATGTTGTCCTTATAATCATTTATGTAGTCAACTTTGAGGTAATTCCAATTTTGATATTGGAGGGATTTGCTCATGAAAACCCGATTTGTGTGGGGAAGAAGAACATGGTCCCACTTGTAGAAAACGCTGTTTGCAATTTGACGTGTGGATCCAAAAAAAATATTAAAAAATAGTGGTTTTGTTGCTCTTGCTGCTGTTGTTTTGCTTTGCTTATTCTTCATCTTTTTTCTTCCTCCTCCTCCACTTGTTCTTGTTCTTCTTGTCCTTGTTCTAACTTCTTGTTCTTGTTATTGTTCTTTTCCTTCTGCTTCTGTTTTTTCTTCTGTTCTTGTTCTTCTTGTCAAATAATCTTGTTCTTAATCTTATTCTTGTTCTTCTTATGTTCTCAGTTTTGTTAATGCTCAGCTCTTGGCTTCTTCTTTGTAAATTATTTTATTTCTTCTCTCTTCTCTTTTCTTCACTTCCCTTCTCTTCTATTCCTTTTTCTTTTTTTGTTCTCTTTTTCTCTCTCCGTTCCATCACTATTTAAGAACAATATTTTGATGGAGATGTGAATGAGTCTAGTCTGAAGAAAGTTTGGCGCTAGTTCAGAAGTGTATCCACACTTTGACCTGTACATTAACTCCGGCGTGGAGATACCCTACTAAAACATACCGAAAATAGACTAAATCTTCATCAATTGTTTAAATAATGGTCATGATTTAAAAGTCGTTATGTTTCTTACCTATTTTGTGTTGATTATCTTACCCTTTTTGTATTTTTCCTAAAAACAAAGATTTAATGTATAATATACACCTTCTCACGGGATTCACAGCAACTGCTGCACAATACACTTGCATACTGTAACGACGGTGGGGTGCGGGCACGCGTCTGTTAAGTTAGTGACCGTAATGAATTGCTAAGATCACAGTCGCTAACTTAACACACACGCGATTTTGGAGCTTTTGAAAGTTAATTTGAGAGCTTACTGCTCTATTTTTTGCTCTATGCTAAAAGAGATAGAAACATCGAAACAAAAACATTTTGTTGAGTAGACTACCGGTACTTATTGCACGCGTGCCCACTCGCAAAGAATAGAGTGCGCACAGAACCCAAGTACAACTTGATTCTGTGTGAGCCTAGCTACAGTCATATGCAGAGTTTTGTTGTTTTCAATCCCAACCACCACTCCTTAGAATGCCAGGTAAATCGTTTTTTATGTTAATTTCATACATTCTACCTAAATGTATAAACACAAATAATTTTTTCATAGTAAACCAAATTAATCAAACTTTGGAGTTTGGACACTTCTAAATTTTTGATAAAATCAAGAATTTAAAGAATATCATCTACAGTACACACACACACACACCAAAGAGCACTTCACACACACATAGATTAACTCCCTGACTTTACCGGTACATCTAAGTGGTTGTAATTGAAAATGAATGAATACAATTTTTTTTTTGAGAACATGACTTTTGCTGCAAAATATGCGACATTGGAAAGATTGGCAGTTTGGCACTTAAAGATAAACTTGAGTTCTGGTAATGCAATTGCAATGTGAAAGAAAAGGTGTGGAATGGATCAGAAAAGTTGATCATATAGCATGTAGTAATTGTGTGTAATGCAAGGTTCTGGAGTCATCAAAATCATCATAAATTTGGCAGAGTCTTGGTAAAGTAACAATCACTTACACAGAAAGATGTATATGGGACAACACACATGGTGTCGGGGCTAGTACTGCCCTGATTTCCTTATCTTTCTATGCTCATTACTCAGCCAGTATACATTTTCTTCCAAAATTGTTTGGCACATGACATTTATTTGTAATCTTGAACATTCAGTGTAAGTTTCGTTAGATTCTGTGAGAATTCATTTTCTTTTTTTTACCAGAACTCAAGTTTATTTTTAAGTACACATGTACATGTATATCATTGTGTATAAAAATATAAGCCTTAGGACTAGGCTACTTAGGACAGGCTTTTAAAAAGTACTGGTAGGTTTTAAAAAAACTTGATATTTATAAATCAGGAAATCAAGGCAATTTTTATTTTTCAATTTTGGTTTGTTGTAGTTTTATTCAGAGAATATTCCTGAAGCACTTGACATTTGGTGAATTTGCTCTATAGACATTAGTTTCAAAATCTTTAGAAATTTCGGAACAAATAAGGCTAAAAAATCCCTACAGATTGCTGTACATGTAACGTCAACTGATATCCCTTTCACAGTTTTGTTAGGAATCTTTGTATTTCAAACATTTCTTTCATTTATATCATATCGTTTTTTTTCAGGAGGTCCTGGATGGATATGTTCACACCTTCAGTGTCCCAGTGACAGCAAGAAAAAGTATCAAATCTGGAGCCACAGGGCGGACCCAAAAATTCTTCTTCGAGGGGAACGAAAAGAATGAAAAAACGCAAAGAGTTGGATGCACTCCTAACCATGCCTAACGGAAAGAAGAACGGGAAGAGCAAGCGCTCGAAGGAGGGTCACGAGCTTCTGCGCTTGGATTCAGAGTCAAATTCTTCAGATAATGAGGAACTCTTTTTGGCACCAAAGAAAACTGTTATCAGGAGGTTTGTACATTTGTATTGTGAATAAATGTGACCTCATAATTTTTGTGTGTGTGTTCTGAAATAGCACAAGTCCCTCTCCCCCCCCCCCCCCCCCCCCTACCCCCTACACATACACAGCCATCTTGATGGATATACAGTCAACCTCGCTAAAGTCAATGCCACAAGTGTCAAATAACCTTGAGGATGATAAAAAAAGTCCCAATTTTTCTTCATGTACATGTACATGTGTGTTATTTCCACTCAAGTCAATCAAATTCCCAGAACTGTTCCAAAGAAAAGGCACTGAATTCACACCGCAAAGTCCTTGAACAAGACTTTAGTGTGTAATTAATCACTGTCAGAGCACTTGCCACACACCGATTTTGTTTACACATTACACCCCAGTACTCTAGACTTACTGGCATGAGCTCCGCTGTTCTTTTCTCTCCCTCCATCTCTCTCTCGTACCTGCCTCTCTAACCAAGCAACACCGGTCCTTTCGTTGTGCACCGTATACACCAGGTAGCTCAACACCAAGCGAGCTCCGATATCGAAAAGGGAAAGAAATGGACAAAAACAAACTTAACACAAACAAATGCCACAGTATTTCAAAGATAGTAATGGAAGAAATAAAAACTGACTTATAAAGTTGTAAATCAAGCAAGAAACACTTCATACTTGCAAACGCACGCTAGTTTGTTTGGAATTTTTATCAAAATTACCAAACTTTGATCAAGTAGTAGTTAGTTTAGTTGAGTTTATTTCTTTATTAAAAAATCACACCCGTCATCAGACGGCCGGCCTAAAAAGGCCTATGAGTGATACATCAAAAATAACAGTCATAAACAATTTGACATGATAACATAGTACAAATATAAGTATATCATAATCATAAACACAGAAGAAGAAAAAAAAAATATTAGTATGTACCTTATATAATATACTGATCCTCAAGGATAATTTGATTAGAGTGTGGATGTACAGTACAAGGTCAAAGATCAAGTGTAGAAAAAATTCTCCCAAAATAGTTCATTATCAGGATAACTGGAGAACTACATGTACATGAACATGTATTCAAGTAACTTTAATCAAACTTTTGAGGATAAAACAATTAGATACTGTGACTGCATGTAAGAGGTCAAAGGTCACAGGCCACAGCATCATAAAAATGTTCGCAATTTCCCCAACATATATATTTTTTTTTTATTGTGCAACCAATTTGTAATAAACTCATGTAAAGATGTAGATTTTGTATGCAATAGGCCACAGTTTCATTTAAAAACAAGAAACATTCTCAGTAAATTCACATTTACACTCTCTGTAATAAATTACTGTATTAATTTAGGAACCACTGATGCAATTTTAACTTAAAGGGATCGTTTAACAATGTTAAATCTGAGATACACGGTCCTACATGTTATCAGTGTCTGTGATATGGTGTAACGTTGAAGCCCTAAAAAAATCGCGCTTCAAAATGATCAAGAAGTGCCTCAAAAAAGTAAAAAATCTTTGAGTGACCAGTTATACCATACTCGTTTTCCCAAATAGACTGTAGTGTTATGAAAACCGTCAGGCGAACGGTTTTCAAAATTTGTAATTCCAATCATAAATATCTTGATAATCGGACAGGCGATCGGCTTGTAAAAGTCATGGGGTTCCTGACTGACCTAAAGGTTTATAATTATCATTGCATCATGAGCTAAATCCAGAATTTTATTTCAGAATCTGAGACAAAGTTACCGGATCCCTTTAACTTTGGCTCAAGTACAATGTATAAGCATGAATAAGATTAATCAAAAAATGTTTGGGTTCATGAGGTTACATGTAGGTCATGCTCATAGAATCATATTGAAAATATGTACATGAGTGTACATAAATGTACACATTTCCATGTAAATCGAGGCGAATTAAAGATGCAGAACTGGAGTTTGCCTATAGATCTGATCAGTTTATACTTGCATGTACACCCTGTACAGGTACATGTACATGTATCATGTAAATGAACAATTTCTTTTCTATTAAAAAAAGTCTGGATTAAGAACATATGGTACTAAAAGTGTGAAGTTTTGAGCTTGAAGGAGAGTAGGTACATGTAGTAACGTACATGTACAGTCATCCTTGGTGTTCCAATTAAACCTTACCAGATTAATCCAGATTAATGTATGAAAAATGCCTTTGTTGATGGACTCCTTATATTTTCTGAACAATATCGGATTTGAAAGTGATCTGGAGCTACCCTTTACTTTAGTACTTGGTATTAGGGACTTTTCGATGTGCACGTCGACATAGTGGACTGCTACGTGTGATGGCCTTAAGGACGTCACACGTAGCAGTCCACTATGTCGATGTGCAAATAGAAAAGTCCCTATTTATATAATGACAACCCGAATGCCCCCAATCTGTGCAGTACTTAAAGATTACTCAATGATTTACATGTATGTTACCCTGTGTCCGCACACAAAAAATTCATTGTATAACTATCCCGAAACGGTATAACTATACCGTTTCGGGATAGTAATACAATGAAATTGTGTGTGTGTATGCTTACTAACGATAACAAAACGTTGTATAATGAAACGCGGGTCTGGGCATCGTTTTGAACTAGAACTCGATAAAGAATCACGTAATGAGTTGTGTGTGGACGTACATGTAGCTAGTATAACTGGTCAAACTAGAACGGTATAACTGGGCGGGGCTTAACGTGACTGCACACGAAAGGAGACCTGACCTCTCATATCTGCTTCCATTTCATGACCGCAGTTGGCAAACTGCGCACCTATATAACGTTTCGCTCTAGAGTTTCGGGATAACTTTCTTGTGTGTGTGGACACCCTGGAATTTATACAATGATTCTTTATAGAGTTTCGGGATAAAAAAAAATTGTGTGTGGACACGCTTGTTAGACAGTCAGCCTATGCTAAGATCAGTTACAATATCCTCATTACTTCCTGTATCTTTCTACATGGGGAGGTTGGGTGAAATTGGTAGAATGTAAATAATTGTTACAAGTACATGTATGTACATTGTACATGTACACTTAATGTGCCAGTGATTTTCATTAAAAAAGAGAAGATGTTATAAATAATGTTATTCAGGTTTACTGCCATGGTGTGTGAAGCCTTTTAAGTGTGTACAGTTTTTCGAATATTGCAAGAATGGAATCAAATAATAGTCCCAAAGATGAAGAAAATAAAGAAAATTAAAACGAAACAATAAAAAACATAAATGAATAACAAACTAACTTTAAAAAAATGAAATAAATACATGAATAAATTAATGAATAAATAAATAGCTGTATTGTTTCAAAATGCATTACAAACATGAGCATGCACATTGCATTACAGACATCTTGAAATGTTTGGATGCAATAGTATACAAATAATGAATGGTTATGAGTTCAATAGTGCGAATATTTTCATGAGTTGAAAGATTAACATTCTATTCAACATTCATTATTTGTTTTATACAACATCGAAGAAGATCTAATAGAACGTTAATCAACAAATTATGCTTTACTCCTTATATTAAAGATAAATTCAAGTTGGATTCAAGCCTTCTCGATTACATTCAGATTGCCTTCGCGTCAGATACACGCAGGGATACGCGCACGCGCACGGCAGAGAGGTACGCAGTCTGCATATAACCAAAAATGCACGGCGCATATAACCAAAAATGCATGACCGTGCAATATACAATCTATTGAATATCATGTGACCAACAATCCTCCAATCAAATGACAGGGATCCACATAGGTGTTGTATAATATAAGAATAATGTGTGAGTAAGCTGATCTTTGCATGCTACATTTGGAGCCAGATTGGCATTAACTTGTACATGAAACTTTAGCAACATCCTTCTGGCTCTATAAAGATGATATTCTGTATCCTATAGGGCTAGTTTCTTGAAACTGTCATAAGTCTACATGTACAGTATATTTGCGAACAACCCATTGAAATGCATGTCAATTTAATACCACATGATTCTATAAAATGTCCAAGAAGTTAAAGACTTTAATGGTTTCGAGAAACGTTCCCATGATGTAACTTGTTGAACTCTACAAGCAGTGTAATCCATGTTGTTCAAATACTGAGAGAAGGAAGATTGATCCATGTACTGTAGTTTCCAGAACTTTCAGTATGAGTAGCAAAGTCTGCCTTGAAGCCAAGATTATATCATACACAGGCTAATATCAAACTGAAAATCTGGAAATCAGCTTGAAACTCGTGCAATTGCTTGTTTTTTGAGAGGCACTGAGCAAGCTTTTTTGAGTAATATCCTAGTTGTCTGTAATTCTCTTATGAAATAAGATAGAGAAGAGAGGTTTCAATTACAAACAAAATAATTTAAATGTAAGACATAGAATAAATTTTCTAAAACAATACAGTGTACATCCAAAATATTATGTTATAAATAACAGGAAATGCATAAAACTTACATGTATATACATTGTACATGTACCGGTATTAAAAAGCTTCTCTTCCAAAGGGATCTGTTATTAAATAATAGGAAAAAAATACTTGAAATATAACATGCAAAACTTGTTTTTGTAGAACTTTACATAACACACTGTAGTTGTATAGGAATTTGGACTGCTGGTGTTGATGGCCAGCCAAACTGCTTGTAAGCCAATTTACTGCTGTGATGGCATTCATGCAAGTATATGATTGATGTGCATCTACCACATACCTGCATATTATTTTATGAGCATAATATATACCGGTACTGTTAAGGTTACGTGTACAATGCTTCTACCCTTCTTGGTAAATGCTTTAATGGTTTGATAGGTCTCTGTTTGTTTTGTTTGTTTGTTTGTATTTTTTTTTGTATTTTTGTATTTTTTTTTTGGGGGGGGGGAACAACTTATGATGAATGTGCATCATCATTAGATAGGGGTAAAGTCTTATGGTCCAAGATTTTTGTTGTTGTTAATTAGATGAATGTATGAATATTTCTTTTACAATTACAACTGAAAATGGGATCCAGTGGCAGATACATGTTCTACTTGATTGCTCAAGGTCTAAATATTTTGGAGAGTCAATTAAAATTTACATGAGATGAAGACGCATCTATTATGATTATCTTATAATGTAGATTGCATGATGTACAGTGTAGGTCTTGAAATACTTCTGAAATGAGATTGATGCATCAATAAAGCTCAAATGACCACCCTCCCCCCTGCAAAAAAATAATTAACCCAGCATTATGTGTTATAAAGGTTAGAGTTCTAAGAAAATAAAGCATGATAAACCCTGGACATGGTGTGTGTCAAGTTCTCTACCAACAAACCATCATTTAGAGAGTATTTGATTTTGGGGGATAGAAATAGGCGTGAAGCTGATATGTGACCCAAAATATTTACCCGAGTAAAATATTGTTTCATAAAGGGCCCTCTTTAAATTTTGTATTTAATGACAGAATCTAATTTTTTTCTCTCAACATTTCTCAGTCAATTTCTTTTCCAGGAGAACCTAATAAAAATCAACATACTATAAATATATGAAATGGCAATGTAATTCAGTTGGGCCTGATCAGAATTCCATCAAACCCTGATATAATGTTGGCCATCACGTGATCCCTAGCTTAGAGGCAGCTAGGGTTGATGCAATTTAGATTCATTTAGTCGTGTCTGCAGAGATCACTGTGCGTCCTATGAGGCATACTGTGCAGTCTGACACAACATGCTAATGACAGGGAAATGAAATTGACATTTCCAGCATAACGATGTCCCAATTACAGAACGGTGGTCATGACTCTCAACTAACTCAAATGTATATTTTTGGATGGTTATTGTTTTCCCCAATTTCTTGTTTGATTTCTCCACCTTGCAGAAATGTACAGTTGCAAAAAAATTCTTCAAAGTTCATTGCACTATGTTACATTTAAAAAAATATTTTCAGATGTAAATTGTTCTTGTTTTCCGGCTCATTATAATTATTTATTTGTTCTATGATATCTCTATCTTGCAGAAGTGTGTAGCATTGTAGCTTTTAAATTTGAAGTTCATACATGTGTAAATACTTTTTCATATTATTTTCTTTCCTCATTTTTTTTCCTTTCCAATCCAAATAGGTTATTGGTCTACCAGTAGATTGTATGTCATACCAATAGCCTTTAACCACAAACATAATACTTATACATTCTCTCCCACTATTTATTATTAGCATTTTAATTGACCACTTTAATTGACTTTTTAACCAAGTCTCATATGGCATACAATACACAGTGTACAGTGTATATGTATGATACATATACACTGTACACTGTGTATTGTGTAGTAGCAATACATGTATGTTTTTTCCAGCATTCAATTATTTTTTTCTTTATTTCCTAACTTGCCAAATACCACATTTTTGTTAAATGCCCACCATCATATTTCTGAATCTTCTGCTCTTTAAATACTCAAAGTAATGTGATGTTAGTTTACATGTTTGCTTATTGTTTCATACATAGTTCTCATACAGTGTATATTTTTTTAATATGAAAGTTAAACCGTTCACCATACTGTTTGCATGTCAAGCGCATTTTTACCGTTTATCCATTGCCTCTATTTAAAACAAATGGTTAGAGAAGATGCTGTTCTAAATGTAAATTTGCTAGCATTAAAGGGGAAGTCAATTCTCACATCAAATTGTTCTTATACATGTAGATGTCAGAAAGAAAATATGAGGAAAACGGATCAGTGGGAATTTGAGAAAATCTAATATTAGGATTTAGGAATATCATGAAATCATACATATCAGTTAATGCCCACTCATTTGCGTCTATTCATAATCTTGAGAAAGACAATTGCCTAATGCATTATTGCCAATTAATGAATAAAACTTTATTGTCTGTATTTTGTTACATCCTGATGAAGGAACGAATTGCTTTTCAAAAATTGGACAATAAATTTTAATTGGCAATTATGCATTACACAATCTTTCTTATGTTTGTTATGAAATCATACATGATACAGTTTCTCCTAAGTTCCTACTTTATGTCTTGTCATTCTATTAAAGTACATGTAGCAGATACTGTCCATTCTAGAATTACATGAATTGTAATGTTGTATGAGTGCTTGATTGAAATGTACTTCGTAAGTAATGTATCAAGGTTGCTTGTAGGTTTTACAGTTACCTATTATTCTCTCATACATACATACAAACAGTAGAATACAGAGAAAATGAATGAGATGGAGAGATTAAAGGTACCGTTTGCAGCCATACTTATTTTGAGAGACCTTTAAGGCAGAGATGGAAAAAGACAGAAAATACATTTCATTGGTAAAGAAAAATCTCAGAAAGGGAATGAAATGAAATTCGAATGAAATTAAGTATTTATTTTCCATTCCGAAATTTGTTTTTCACTTATAAAACTTACAGATCAATTTACAAAAAGAAATAATAAGAATCATAGACAATTACAGTAATGGTAAAATACAGTCACAACAGCTAAAAGTTGGTTAGGTTGTACACAAAATCAGTTTTGTACAATTAGAATGCAGATAGAGCGAGAGAGAGAATCAAAGGTAGGCAGAGTAGGAGGGTATAGAGCAGAGAAGAAAAGATACAAAGTGAGAGTGAGACTTACAGGAAGTATTTAGATGTGTAACCTGACATAATTAGGGTAATTAAATAAATTAAGCTTTCAAGTTGAATTAATGGACAAAGTTGACATGAGATCGTAGATGATCATAAACAGGGAAAAAAGAAGAATACAATGTCATGTACTGTAGTAAACAATCTGTGTAAGGAGTCTGTATATGTAAGTAGGAGAGATATCCAAATACAGAACAAAATAAAAACTAAAATTTTAAAATGTTAAAACAGGGCAGAAAAATACATGATAAATTGCACGTCACTGTACGTATGAAAAACAAAGATAATTAGAAACACAGGAGCTGCCCCTGATAGAGGTTGCAACTTCACAAAGCAGATTTCATTTTCATAGAAATATGAAAAGCATTGTCCCTGCAGGCCTGGGGTTGGAATTTGTATAATGACATATATAAACAAGATTATCTTGTAATGGCAACCCTAAGCTGGTGAGTGGAAAGATAATGGACTTCTTACTACTTAAAAGGCAGTTAATTTAAATGAAAAATCTGGTGTTTTCTGCCCTGGTATTGCTCCTCAAGATGAGATGAAAGTGGAAGCCGACCCTTGTATAAATTGCTTTTATAGTAAAAGCAGAAAAATCAGATATATACAGATAACTTTAGAAAAAGGTTGACACAAAATCTGGTGGAGGATAAGACATTTACAGGTGTAAGAGTTAAAATGTTATTATACTGATCAAATACAAATTGGGAACTTTATGATTTCCCTTGCAAGTACATGTAGCTCTCCTTTAGTTTGTAGATCTAGTGGGTGAGAATTTTAAACAAAAGTGATCCCTACTTGGAGTTGTTGATCAATATTTGAGGAACTCCTTACTTTGAAGAAAAATGAAGAAAAAAAAAGGATTCCCAAGCTTAAAACAAATACGATAGAGAGCTGAGCACTAGCAAAGATCAAGCAGTTTTGTCAATGTATGTTTGATTGATCACATGCATCTACATGTACTATGAGGTCACTTTAAAATGATTTGTTTTTATGCATTGAACATGGCTTACCCGCAAGCAAAAAAGGTCCTGTTTTATATTTTGTAGGGCTGTACATGTAATACTCATTTTTTTTTTTTAACCCCAGTAAATTAAACGCAGGCCTTTCTAGAGCATTCACTTACCGGTACATTGTATCCACAGTAAGTTAATGATGCAAGTAATTGCTGGTCTACATGACTTCCACCTACCAGTACCTGGAAATGTCATCTCATGGAAGGTCTTTACGTGCTGTTTTTTTCCATTTAAAAACAAATACATGTAGCTGTTTAAAATGATATTGCCCAGTTGCCTGTTGGTGAACTAGAAATGTTAAATTTGTATTGTGTTTGAAGTTTATCTTTAGTACCTTTTATGAGACACTTAGTTTTTTGTGTTTTTTTAATTTTTTTTCACGCAATGACTTGTTTGATTTTGCCAGGAAATTGTTCTTTGTGAACAAGGTATGTACACATGTACATACAAGGAAACAACTTTAGGTATAGCATGTACGCTAGACATATTTTTGAAGGAAAACTGGTTAAAAATCATTTCAAATTGATGTCATGCAATATTTACTGGACCAGCAAAATGAAAATGATTGAGAAACTGGCTAAATTGTTTTTATGCAGTGAATGGATAGACAAGCTAAATGGAAGTCAATTTTGATGGATTCAATTTGAATGTTGCTTTTTGATATCACCAGACATCCTGACAAGACAAGTCATCAGCCTGATTTATATTCTGTAATTTATAATATTGCTTTCTCTCTATCTTTTCCCCCTTTACTACAGACCGAAGCCCTGCCAATGCTGTACAATGTGTGTGCCTCTTGTCATGTTCATCTTAACTATGGGTTGTATGGTCATCACAGGGGGTCTAATCTGGATGCATTTCAACCTCAAACAAGATCTAGATAACCTCAGAAGATCGCTAGAAAAAGGTATGAAAACAAATAATTGTGGAGGACCAGGAAAACATTAAAGTAGATATTCATTGATTTTAAAAACTAACTGAATTTCATTATTGCAAAGTTAAAACTTTGATTCGACAATGTTATCAAAATTCAATGCTTGGAAACATTTGAAGTAATGATTATTATAAATTATAAAACGCTTAAATACTGCCCCGGCATAGCACCTGAAGAGCTCTCCGAATGCTGCTGAGATGTGTGAGATCACAGTATGGACACGATTTGCACAAGCAGACGATGTCCCATGCCATCTCACACATTTTTAGTGCCTGTGTTTTCATCTATTCTTGAGTTCTTTCTCTTACTTCACTACCGTCAGGCTAAATGTATAATCTATTGCCTCACTCCGAACCCCGCACATGATTTTATTTTGATGACAAATGCAGCGATACAAAAATAAAGGAATCTGTCGCTTGTAAACAAAATAAGACGCCATTGAATATTCAGCTGCACACACCGCGGTATGTTCGGCGTTTCAAGAGGGAACAAATGCCGTCCTTAATATCATTCCGGGGGGGGGGGGGGGGGGGGGGGGGGGGGGGGGTTTCAATTCGAAAGTCGTGTTTCTTTGATTGTTAATTAACACCTACATGTATCCTGTGTATTTACAAGCAAAAGATTTTAGTTATCGGAATCGGGTCATATCCCCTTTTGAATGGTTTGACATGCCATCACATTTATATACACTAAACTCATTATAATTTGACAAATAAAAGCTTTGCAATTATGTTCATTCTTTATGGGATGTCGTCTGCTTGGGCAGTATTGGTCCATATAGTGACGTCATTAAAACATCGTTATTTTTCCGGCGAATCTCTCTTCTATCCCAGCTGCTATGCAGGTGGTTGTATTTGTATTTTTATAAATCACCCGATATGTAGTTGACCTAAAACTTGTACGATGGCCATCTGTTAGCTTACCAGTTTCTAGTCATACCATTAGTTGACATATTTGTTATTTTCTTTGAATTTCACCTTTAACCTTATAGATCATAGTATGATTGGTACACTTTATTAAAGTTACTAGCCATACTAAAGCTTTAGATCAGACCGGATTTGAAGCGATATGGCTCATTTAATGCCAGTTTTATGTTCATAACTCCATAATATGAGTGAACTCCCTTTTAGCTGTGAGCCATCAGATTTACTTGTTTAATAGGCCAGTTAGCATGAACTGGTTTTCGCTGTACTACTTGTCTAGCTATCATTATTTTTAGGATCCCCAGGCCTGATTTTAAGTGCCCCTTACCAAGTTACCGTAACTAAATTCTACAATATGTTGAAGTTCACTAGATATGATGTCTGTCCTGACAAGTGCTACTTGTTCTTTAAGAGTATCGATTTTAAAGTCATTTTCCAATCTAATTTTTAAAATCTTATGTTAATTTCTTTTGATTTCTCTCACTTGTCTCTCTTTCTCATTTCTTCATTTCTTTAGTTGAGATAAAAGCAGATAGTGCATCATCGCAACAGAAGACAATTCTTAGCCTTGAATCTGGGCTCGACAAATTGAGCCATCTCCCAGAAAAAGTAGATGTTGCTGATATCAAAGTAAGTTTAAACATCACTTTAAAGCCTGAATAACTTTTAACCCTGAATAACTTTTAACCCTCTGATACCTCAGTCATACTGCCAAATTGATTCCAAATTAACTCCAAACCAACCTATACTTGATTGCTTTGTGGGATAGTATGTAACTGTCAATCTTGTTTGTCTAACTCCTTATATGCCACACAAATGATCTCTCTGTGTCACATTTTATTTATCATGGGATAGATATAAAAAAAGGCTTAAGTTTTAAAAAAATTGTTACAAGGGCAAGATTTATCTATACTGGTGTTATAAAGATTTGTCGTTGAGCTCATCAAGACCGAAATGGGTAATTTTGCAAAGCCATTGTGTTGCACATAGCAATGATATCATCAATTTGTGCTTATTGTTTTGTGGAAAATTGCTCATGTGGTAAACTAGCAACTGTGCAGAGAGGGAAAGAATGCAGCAGTGTTTATATTCTGTCTTGTCTGTGTGACTGGGGTATATTAATGGGTCTGGATTATGTAGGCTATTCTGAATACTGTCTGAGTGGAAGGAACGAAAAGAAGAGTTTTGAGATAGAAATCTGGCAGGGATCCCATATTCACAGTAGAAGGAGGAGGAGGAGATCAGGAAATCTCTAATGTTCAAGGGGATAGCCTGGACTCAACACTCAACAGGCGCCTGGGCCACATGAGCATGGTCCACATTGGCATTCTTAGGGTCTGTATTGTATATATGAGTCAAGGTTGTTAGACTTTAAGATTATGGGGAGCCGGCGTTGAATTTTGAGGCCACGTGTCCCAGACACTTGTCAGTGCCTGAGCAGTGCATGATTTCTGTGAATCACCTCTGTCCACGTTATGTACATTTTTTTCCTTAAGTTCAGTTTGTTTTATTATCATATCGCAGCCTCAGCTAAATTACATGAAAAGTTACAATCAAATTAAAAATAACATCACATTTCATTTCTAAACAACATATTTCATATTTTCATAATACACTGCATTTGTATATTTTTTTAAAGGTATATAATGTACAAAATACATGTAATATAATTAATAGAACTTATTCAGAGAAATATAAATACTTACAGTGTTCTTAACCTATTTCCAGAAAATGAAACCAATTACTGATTGCTGTACAAGCAGGTTAGTATTTTAACAATGGAGACGTTATGGTGCACAGCCTCAAATGAATAGGGTCTTTGTGGGTATACTTATTTCTCTGAATCATATATTCCTATGTACTCACAGATTAATATATTAAACAAGTCACTGAGTGCTGTCCAAACAAAGCAAGATGAATTGGATTCTTTAAAAGCCAGGATAGCAGTCCTTGAGGGCAAAACATCATCTGCATCAGTAGCCGAGCTGCAACAGGTGAGTTATAATAATAATAGTAATACATTTTTAGAGCGCAGAAACTTATCCAAAATTAAGTATACATGTATATTCTACTGTGCTACAAGAGCTCCTGATATGCTTAGATTTACAGTCAATTGAAAAGATGTACTTTCAGTTTTGATTTAAAGATATTCACAGATGGTGATTTCCTGAGTTCAGATGGTAAGTTATCCCAGAGTTTGGGGGCTGCACAAGAGTTCATAGAGAAGTGAGTATTAAAGTAAGAGGCAGAGAGAGAGAGAGGGAGATAAAGAGAAAGAGGATAATAGCTTTCTGCAAATGAGCATTTTCACTTGTTGAGGGGACAATAGTATTGAAAAACCCCTCCCCATGGAGGAATGCAGCTTACAAGTAGATGAGGAGGATGAAGCTGTAAATGTTCTTTTAAAAAAAAAATCACATTATAAAAGCTATGATAATGAAAGTAATGAACAATCTACATGTATGTGTTGTCTTTATTATTAATTCATTAAACGCTCATTCATGTATGACTTTTTGTTGGAATATATCTCATTTTCAGGCTGCTGAAAACTGAATTTAAAAATGCAGATTTATACCCTGTATAAATAGACCCTTTAAAATTAAAATGTGGCCATGATGTCTGATAGTCGACTCAACTATTTTTGATTTGCTTCTCTCCTCTTTTCTATCGTCATCTTGTAGAATGTTGCTGAGCTTGGCAGTGAAGTAGAAGATCTCAAAGGAAAACATGAGACTCAGGATGCGAAAGTATCAGATAATGAACAAAAGATAACAGAATATGAACAAAGGATAACAGAATTATCGGTAAGATCATGATCATAAAATCCCATCTCAAGTCTTCTTTTTCTGCATAAAAGGACTCTGAGATGTTGTGAAACATACATGTATGATGACAAAAGCATACCAAGATAGAATAATAGTTTCTACATTCTTACTGCATGTTCGTAGATGTTCAGTGTCCTTTTGTATACCAAAGTTGACATGAAAGATCCAAAATCGAACAACCGATATTAAACCAATCAGTATGCTGTATTAAACGAGACTCGCATTTAAAACGATAGTTCGGATTGAGCAATTAATATTTATTTTATGGAAGAGGCTACAGCCCTGCAAACAGACGAGAGTAAAGTGGAGAAATAAAAAGGGACCTTTAAAGCTTGTCTGCACTAGTTTAGCCAGGAGGGATTAGACCTCCCTGCATGGTCATTAGCATAAGAAAAAGGGGACCATTGGGGACGAACCATCACCGCTTAGGCATTGTTTGCTATATACAGGGCGCAAGTAGCTATAAGTAGTACAGTCAATTTCTACAGATTACTATAGTATTTGTTATTGTTTGTGGATAATTTGTTTATCCTCCATATTACCTTTCAGAATGAGGTCGATACCTTAAAGAACCAAATAACTCTTTTACAAAATCCACCTACCACCCCACCAAGCCCGGAGGTAGCTCCACCCACCTCTGCTTCAAGTGCCACAACCAAACATCCTCCTGCTACAGAACCTTCAACAGGCTCGGCAAGCTCTGGACCCAATCCACAATTGATTGAAGTCAAAGAGGTACAGATTAAAGTTAATTCTAGATTTTTTAATCAGGGGTGTCATTCTGAATTATATGTTATCTTTTTATTTTATTTAGGAAAAAGATTTTTATGGTCATTACATATAACTTTCAACAGGACTGGGGAGCTCTGGACCCAGTCCGTAATTTATTGTAGTCAAAGAGGTACACATTGAAGCTGAATTATAACTTTTATAGGGTTCCTTTCACCTAAAAAATAATTTGTGTACAAGGTTGTATGTATAATATTAAGAACAGAATACTTTAATACCTAGTATTCTTTGGGTGATTGGGTAAGGAGTAGGGAGAAAAGATAACATCAAGATCCTGCCCCCAGAGCCTGAGTCAGGCTGGGTTCCCATGCAAATGCACACCAAACATACATTGTAAAATATTTTTAAGTGCTGGGTACCTTACTGCTGGAGTACATATTTGTTTTTTAAATTGTTTTATAGGCAGGGTCGGATTCATTTATATACAGATCTTTGGTTCTTAAGAGGTACATTGTGTAAGGTTTATCTGTTGAAATATAGTAAGGAACACTGTCCAGGAATATCCAAGGTCTATTTCAGATCTTTAATAATTCAAGGGTTTCCCACCTTCTGATTATAATTTCAATTCAGCTTTGCAAACTCAACATATGTGGAATTTTTATGCTTATGGAGATAAGAGATAAGGAGTTTGCAAAAATAGAGACAAGTGAAACAAATAAAAAGACAGTACATTTATCAAACGATGTGTTTCTGATTGCACCTAATTTTGCGCCTACAGGATATTACGAGAATATGGGCTGCTGTTCATGAAGTACAGAGCACTGCAACAAATCTCTCCAGAGAGCATGAGGAAGTAGTCGCCTCGTTGACTCAGCTTCGAAAGACGCTACTAAACGGTACAGCTACTTCACCTCCTTTGCTGCCCACTGTGGCTGGCCATAGCAGCTCTGCTCCACAGGGTCTTCAGGCCAGTCAGTTTGACCTGGCTCAAATGAAAGTAGATATTGAACTTCTGGTAAGTTATATTCAGCACACTCAATCCTGAAGGTAACAAATAACCCAAAATACATTTTGCTCTGCATGCTTGGGGTTCCATAATATGATGTATAATTTTTTTTTTTAATATCCAGTCTATCGGAAGTGCATGGAGATGTTATATCAGGGGATATGTGCTACACAAGCATAATATATAGCTGTTATATTATGTTGTATTCAAAATATCAGCAACCAATATTCATTCTGTAAATATTGCAAAGTATACATGAATTCTAAATATAGGTTAAAATGTTAAAGCAATTTATGTGCAGAATGACATGAGGATGCAAAACTTTGGTGTTTTCCCCAGTTTCTGAATGACTGATAATAATGAAAACAATTGAATCACATCATCGTCTTCTGGCCAAATCAACTCTGCCATACCCATACTACAAGTACATGTGCACACCTTAAAGAGATCCGGTAACTTTGTCTTAAGGCCCGGTCCCACTGCACTTACCGTATATAACGGTGTATAAACCGCACTTTTTTGCCGCCGAAAAAATTTCAAAGTCGGGGGTGCGGTTAATACACGGTACACCAAAATTTTTTTTTTTTTTTTTTTTTTTTTTTTTTTTTTTTTTTTAAAGTTTCAATTTATGCCCCTCCACCTGGCGCTATGCCTGGCAATGTCTCCCAGCTCGGTAATCGGTGTGTTGACTCACCACTCGGAAACTAGAACAACACTCAAATTTGTCTGTCATCTTGGTTTGAAAGTAATCTTTCTGATAGATCTCAATATGTAGTTTATAATAATAATTCCTCCAATTTTTCTTCTATTACATGGTGTACCACAAGGTTCTATCCTAGGTCCCTACTGTTTTTTAATTTACAGTACCGTAATGATCTTACACACAAAAAAAAAAAAATCTCTGCGAAAAAGAGGGGTGCGGTTAATACACGAGGGCGGTTTATACAACGTTATTTACGGTACGTATGCAAAGAGGATGTAAGACGTACAAAAATCTTGCCATCCGTTGGAATACGCTATGCATCCGTTATGTACTCATTGCATACGTGTTTCATACGCTCCATCCATCGAGCATACGTCCACTATGATTTCATCCGCGCAAAAAGTTTTGAGCAGCACAAAACTTTTAGAACGGATGAACTTCCGCCGTGTACGATGTAAATCCGGATTTAGCTCATGCTGCAATGATAATTATAAACCTTTAGGTCAGTCAGGAACCCCATGACTTTTACAAGCCGATCGCCTGTCTGATTATCAAGATATTTATGATTGAAAATCAAAATCAAATTTTGCGTTTGCCAAACGGTTTTCATAACACTACAGTCTATTGGGGAAAACGAGTACCGGTATGGTAAAACCGGTCACTCAAAGGTTTTTACTTTTTTGAGGCACTTCTTGATCATTGTGAAGCACAATTTTTTTTAGCGCTTCAACGTAACACCATATCACAGACACTGATAACACGTAGGGCCGTGCATCTCAGATTTATCATGGTTAAACGATCCCTTTAAAGATAATTTTTTAGGAATGTCTATTCCGAGCTAGACAAATTATGCTGTCATCTATTTTGCAAAGAAAGACTTCACCTTGCCCCTCAGTATTTTGAGTCTCTATTTGATTATTATTATTATTATTATTATTATTATTTGTTCAGCAAAAATAAAGAAAATCATTGAATACAAAACAAGAGTACATTTGGAAAAGAGTCACATGGATGCCGGGAAAAGAACAAGATTAACTAAATAACTGTAACCCGAAGGGTCTTCTTTTCCGATTCATGTGACTTTACAGAAATGGTAACATAAAAAAAGGTGATTAACTAAATGATTAACTAAATAATTGTAACCCAAAGGTTTTCTTTTCCAATCCATGTGACTTTACAGAAATGGTAACAATAAAATGGTAAGGTATAACCCCTTTCATAGACTACGAGTGTCTGTCACTACTTCAACATTCATTTATATTCTTTCTTGGGGGTATTCTATTGCAGAAGGATGAATATAACAGAAGCATTGCATCAATGCCAGTAACAGACATCATTCCGATAGAAGACTTGCCTAATTTCAACGCTACATGGTTGCAGTCATTAACAGACAGGATAGGAAGACTAGAGGAGAAAGTCAAAGAGGTAAGTAGATTTGGAGTCATGTTGATATAATAATAATAATAATAATAATCTTTTTAAAGTCCACTCCAAATTTTATTAAGTTAAACCAAAAATGAAAATTCTTTTTGCCCAATTGATCGTGAGCCCGGCAGCCACTGAGCAGCACCAGATCGACGTTGCTCTATCCCTTATTGTTGAACACCAAACAAGGTAGCAGCAACTCCCGTCTTTTAACGTCTTTTGGTATGACGCGCCCGGGGTTTGAACGCACGACCTCCCGGTTGTGAGGCGGACGCTCTACTGACTGAGCCAACACACCGATATGTAAATGAATAGAAATATTCACTTACACATATACTTACACAAATGATTAAAAACAAGATAAGAATTTGTCACTGGAATGAGGTGGTCTGGGCGAAGGTCCATCTAGTTTATGTAATATTTATTTTTATATTGTTTAGAGCCATTATAATGGATGCATGATAAGAAGTAACATTTCACTGTCATTTTCTGATTGCCTTTTGTTTTCCAGCTTAAACCTGTTGATGGCAACCCCAATCTACTGAACGTCAATGTCACCAACAGCATGCAGATGCTCCTAGAACGCTCCCTTGCGCAGTTCAAGAATGATAACTTTGCTGACGTCTCTACCCTCCAAAGTGATGTCGAAACCCTTCAGCAAGAAATAGCGGGTGCCAACTCGTTTGATAATGAAGTTGGGACTAGGATTACAGCAATCCAGGACCAGATAAGCAATTTAAAACGAGAGTGTAGTGCCTGTACACCTGCAGAAGGAGGTAGGAATGAATACAGTATTGAGATTTTTACTGTTCCTTAAAAAGCCCTTTACTGAATTCTTTCATTCCCATAGGCTCTAGTACACGAGTCGGTCTATTCCGGTAAGCAATGGGTTAAATGTTAGTACACAGTGTTGATTAAGGTCATGAAATTGGAGAATAATGTTCCCTGGTGAAATGGAATTGATTTAATCTGTGATTGGTTTGTTTAGATCAGCTTTGAACGCTATAACTGCCATGTGAACTCCAATTACACATTTTCCATGTAACCTAGTATTTTCAGATTTGCACATTAACATGGAAGGAACCTTATCTGAATTTTAGAAACAATTTCATCTGTAAGATAACTATACATTTGTAAGTGAGTGAGCCAAACACCTCATCATCAATATTTTGTTATGTTATTTCTCAAATATACATGCATTTCAGATCAAACTTTCAAGTTCTTCCCTCATATGTACCGGTACATGTATGTACTGTAGGAGAGTAAAAGTATCCCTCATACCGATCCAGACTTTTGTAGTTGAACAATATGATAATTTTGTATGTCTATTTTATAGTCAATGCCTGCAGAAGAAAGACATAAAATTCAGTGTAGATATACTTCACTGGCCATTAGTTTCTTGGTTACTGGAAATCTTGCTACCCGAAATCCTTGAGTGGGATTTTATATCATGTCACTGTAGATGTGAAATACTATATCTTATTTATGTTATCTCTTTTCCCTTAATCTCAACCATGATATAGGACCATTACCAGTCAATAATCCAACCGTTACCACAGGATCAACAGAAAGCCCATCAAGTACAACAGCATCAGAAAGAACAGCAGATGGTAGCAGTTAAAACTAGGGTAAGGGTAATGTTTTTTGCATGTCACTGAATATTCCAATGAAATTTTGAGAAAAAAAAATGAATTCCATTAAAACAACCAGCATTTTATCGGTGCTGAAAAATGAATATAAAGTAATATACAGGTATGTACATAGTATGTCAGGAATACATGTACATGTACCTGAACACATGTATGTATTTACTTTTAAATGAAATGAAAAAAGGTGAATATTGTACAAATACATGTACATGTACATATATGAAGAGATTATGAATGTACATGTATGTCTGAAATAATATGCTGATAACTGTTGTCCCTTGACAAATGCCTGTCATTCGGTGAAGACTTCTTCTTTAGATTCCTACCCAAAATGGCATAAGATATTTGGAAATTGCAGAAATGTATCATTCTTATTCCATTTCTGACTTAAAAGAAAATACAACTAATTGTTTTGTTTGAGATATGTGTGCAAAATCATCCACTTAAATATTCTGGTTTCTACATATTCTTAGCAATTCTTTATTAACTGAATTTGTTTATTTTCTTCAGGTTTCTATCAGATAAGCTGTTCTAAGAATACCACTACTCCAGGGTATCATTAGAAATACTGTGCGCCAAGTCCATCTACTAGAACATCAGATTGGGTTATTGGTTTTCAGTGCATTGTGCATGTCGAAGCGGATGTTACCAAAGGAAGTACAATTCTTACAATTTGTCAGGATCGAGCAAGGAAATATGTGTGATGATGAATACTGATGCAATTGTGGAACAAACTTGCTGAAGAGGAATAACATAAAGGGTTGAAAGAGGATCAGGAGGTGTATGCAAGATTTTAATCTTCTTCTGGAAAAAGTGGCTGAGGATGAGAAGACACAGCGTGATAAAGTGATATACATGTACAGTGTATTGCTCACAACAGGATCAAATATTTGGAAAGGAAATGGTGGCCAATTTGATGATTTTACTGACAGATTTGGAATGGGATTGGACGTGCAGAGTGCCGATGAAACTTTGGAGTGGCAAGAGAATCAAGCAGAAATTAGACTCAAGGGTTAGATACCGGTAGGAAAATCTGGTTTGAGAGGAATTAGAACTAAATGAAATCTTGCTAGTGAAATGGACGAGTCTGCACACCATTTCTTGTATTAAAAAAAAAAATTGCTGTCAGGTTGATGAGTTTTAAAAAAAATTGATATACAAAATCCCAGATATGGAAGTGTGTTTGAGGGTTGTTTATTTATTTTTTCCTAATTTTTGGTTTCACCTTAATTATCAAAGATCATTTTTCTGATGGGCAATCCTTTGCAATGTGTTCCATATATGTAGTACTTATGACACTTATCGATATTTTTCATCAATGAATGAAAAGTGTTTTGGTATGACTATGATACAAGGAAACACCATTACTCAGTAGTCAGATCAAGACATTCTTCATTTTTGGAAGAAATATGTGTGGAAGAAAAGACAAAGTATGTGACGCATTGTATGAAATTGCCCTGATGATGACGTGACGTTCATGGGTAATGTTTAGAAGCTTTACTTGTAACGGAACGATCATATCTGATGTAGAATTAAATGTTTGCACCATGTCATTACTCTATGCAACCGCTAACGAATATGAGGAGATTGCAGTTTTGATACAGTATACCGGGAGCTTGGAATAGCAGTTTCATGTGCACTTTCATTAGATATAGGGCATGGCACAATATGCACACACACCACTATATTGGCTATATACTAGTCCCAAAACATACCACTTGGTTTTTCTCTTTAAAAAAACACACAGAAGTCACAGAAAATTAGCAGAAACATACATTCTATGTACATGTATTGGAAGTATACAGTTAGTGTTTATCATTGTCATCATTAACATCATCATCATAATCATCATCATGGTTAATGGCCATCATATTCTCATCATCAAAAGCCTATTTTGGGTCGTTCTACCTTAACTCCCTGTAACAAAAAAAAAAGGTTATGTGACTGACTTATCATAAAAGATTGTGGCTTTTATCCATGATTATCTGATTAAGTCGCCTATTTATTAAAAGTTAAATCACCTTTATGTCTCTATGATTTATGTTTTTATTATTTGTTTATCAGATCATATTTAGGTAGAGGTTTGAATCGATTTTAATCTGAAATAAATAAGGGTATGTACATGTATGCCTAATGGCCATTTTCTGATTGGTAACTAACTTGGTATTATTCAATTTATAAAATGGAAATTCATTTTCTACAAATCATAGACTTGAATGAAATGTCCATACATGTACATGTAGTGGACAAAATGGTTCTTCTTTTCATCAAAAAATGAAAAATAAGAAAATGAGTTGGAAGAAGCTTCTGGATTTTATTTGGTTATTTAATAGTTTTGGTGTGTGATGCATAAAATATAGAAATATTATTTATCATTTGCAAAAAAAACGTAGCTAGAAAAATGATATACAGTGGACATTGTATTATTGTATTCAAAAGCTATGCATAACACATCTTTCATAAATGTTTCTTTAAATGGTAATTCATAATAGATAATGTATGCAGGTAAACTTGTGCAGACTAAAACAGGTATTTAGTTTTTCTTGGCAAGTAGGAGAAGTTCAACCTAACAAAAAAAATGAAAATGAAAAAAAGAAATAAATGATAACAACAAAATAGAGATGAAAATAGGCAAAGTGCAGCCCAATACAAGATATAAAGATAACCATGAGTTCTGGGAATGGAATCGCAGTTCAAATGTGAGTTTTGTTGTGAATTGTTTATTATGCAGTAGATGGGTGTGGAAATGAAATTTACTGAAAACTGAAACACACATTATGCACATGTTCAGGGTCAAGTGTTCTAGCTCTTGATGTTGGGTCAAAGTTAAGTTTGATTTATATTCTTTTTGCACATGACCAAGTTTTTTTATACAGTGAAATCAAAAATATTTGTTTTCATTGCCAGAACTCAAGATAACCTGTGATGATCATTCAAATACAATATTCTTGTATAAGATTTTTGTGTAAAATGTACATGTAAATATGGCAGTCAGTATTGAATCATAGCATTTTTCTGCTAGTATGGAATGTCTTTCGGGTGTGGGGTTAAAAATTTGTGGAATGGTTTAAATAAATTTGCTGTATGTACTGTAGGTACTACTATGTAGTACTAAGTAGTTAATTAAGTTTACACTCAGGGATAAAAGAAAGTGGACACTGTTTATATTTAAGATTATCAAAAAAAAATTAATATATAATTATAGTTCATATATCAAAATAAACATTAACTAATTCTCTGCGCTGTTAATCATACCATTCACACATGAGTGAGCATGGCCATTTAACAATAAATTAGTCTCAGAAAGAAAATGTCAAAAAAGGGGCATCTGGCCATTGAAATGTTAATAAGCATTTTCATCTTGCTGAGTCGAAAAAATAAAATAAAGACAAGCAACCCAAAAAATAAAAGCGGGACCGTGCTACTTGCACCCTCTATATAGCCAACAATGCCTAAGCGGTACCCGTTGGTCCCCCATGATCCCTTTTTCTTATGTTAATTGAGAGCGGATTTGATGAGATAACCACCTGCCAGTGACCATGCAGGGAGGTCTAATCCCTCCTGGCCAAACTAGTGCAGATAGGCTTCAAGAAAAATGGGAAAGGAGAGGCATCTTTACCATGCTTGTCGAATCCAAGCAATCCTGAGACTACAGTTGACATCCAGAGCTCAATACTCATTGTTTCTTAGTCTTTGTTTTCAGTGTTCAACATGAATATTTTACAGATGCACATGATCATTAGCATTTGAATGGCTACTTGCACTATTTTTAAATTTCTTCTTACCGCTAAATGAATGAGCCCATTCAAGCATTAAAGTTCAAAACTTGATCTTAATTGCTATTGGTAGAATAGAATTTTCCTTTAATTTGATGCATACACATGTATATTATTATATTTCATTGACGGTTTTTAAGAAAATTTTGAACACTAAAGAGTGTCCACTTTCTTTTCTTGCTGAGTGTAGATACATGTAAGACTATAAGTGTGGTGAAGTTTATAAAAAAAAACATAAAACGGTGTTTATCCAAAATATCTGCAGTTGCTGTCGTAAATCATTGACTTTGACTTGTATAAAGAAATAAAATGCTACTGGATTACTAAATTAAAGACAATTGTTGGGCTATACGTTTATAAAACCTAGATATGATGGTGTCCAGCTAAAAGTAATATGTATAAAAGTATGAAGTGAGCGAGCTGCCATTAACATCACACCTGGGTGGAGAGTGGTGAATGCAGGTTAATCAATAAATCATGTCAAGCTAAAAGATATTAGTGCCAGGGCGAACCGCAAACCATGTAATTCAGTCCGGTGACATATCCACTAGACCACGGTACCTCCACAAACATTCACTTTAGCTTTAGGAATACCTCACTCATTCATAGTTTGATAAATTTCATTGTGGAAAAAATAATGAAACCTTAGTTTATGGCTATAGTTATGCCTCTATTTATGAGTAGGAATCGATTATAAAGTGTCAGATAACCTTTTTCTTTATAGGAATCACTTTTGAAATACTTGTCAGTGGGATTTCAATAAAATTATATTTTTATATAGTACAAAGGCACTGTATTAGTATCTTTGGGCCAGAAATGGATAACTTTTTCATTGGTATTGTGAAAAAGCATTGTGAAGACCTGTAATCTTTTACAAATGCAGGTGTTTTTCTGCATATTAAGGTACTATGTACATGTGTAATTGTAAATGAAAGTGAAGCATAAATCTATCTTTCACTGATAAAGACAAAAAACGTCTGGAATATTATTTTTGACTGCAAGTGTGTAAAGCATTTTTCTCCAGTATCGGGTACTTGTTTTCAAATAGCATTTACGATGGATTAAAGAAAATGACTATATTTGTTATCCACATATGTTCTTTTATTTTTCACTTCTAATAGCATTGATTTTCATCATTATCTGTCATTCAAGACCATTTGAATTGATTTACACCTTAGCCCAAATTAAGTTAAATGCATAACTGTTTTTAAAATAATTTCATTTGAGTGTGTGATTGTTTAGTCATCTCTATCATGGCTTTAGCAGTGTACATTAACATGATATTGATGATGTATGTTGCTTATGTTCCAAATATTGTTTCAAGAGCCATAAGTTGTATGTGCATTCATATATTTGTTCATGTAAGTTTTATCCATCACTAAATAAATCATATATTTCTTGGTAACTATTTGTATGTGATATTTATGAAATAAGAACCAGTTATGAAATGTTCCTCGTTTGTTTAACTACAGGTGTACTTGTAATAAAATGTATCCCCCCCCCCCCTTTATTTTGTACATGAGTTGCATGGCTTCTCAGATTCCTTCCATTTATAATACGTTTTACAATAATACTGCAATTCCATTTAGATAAAGGGGAGTACTTTTAACACAACATCCCAGCGGACTCCCTGCCCGTTGCGACCATTGTAATCTCATCCAGTCTTGAAAATATCGGACTGTTTTCAGTCTCGCCTTTCCTTCCCAGGAAGGACTCCCTAAATTTCTGTTTAAAACAAGCAGAGAAGGAAACATAGTAAACAAAATAAATAAAAACAGAGCTTTCTGTCAATATGAAGTCCTGTAATGCACCGATTCACAGTGCCATCGAGATGAAGGTATAGCATTTGTTGATGTCATCTGGCAGTATCCTTTGTTACGTCATCCCCCATTGAAATGTCATTGTGTAATAATGCTCTGCATAGTTATATATTACATGCCAATGAACAAACGTGAACCAGGTACATTTAGGTCGAACAGACTCATTTTAATGATGCACTGCAACATGATTTTGGTGCGTTTTGTACTAAATATGTCAATATGTTAAATTATTTCAATACTTAATCTATCATAGATATTGTGTATTATAAGATGTATGTGTAGATATTTAGATAAATACAATATTCATTTTACTGGTAAATATAATTTTCATTTCTTACTCTAGAGTTGAGATATGATGTAATAAATTCTTAATAAATTACTTCGAGTGCTTTGAGGTGTCCTTTTTTTGTATTGTTTTTTCTTGAGCTGCAGCAATATGTGAAGTACATGTGTAGTTTGATAGATGTGATACGGAGTACTGTATGATACATACATTACTTAGCTACCATGTTTATTTTTTTAAAGCTAATTTTAAAGATTTGTATATTGTCTCTGTTCCTTCATTGCCTAAGTATCAATAAAGTGATGTACCACCAAATAATGCTCTCGGAAGAAAACTGGGTTACCTGCCCCAAATGCAATTTGAATAACTCAAATTGAAATGTATCAACATTTTTATTACAATATCCGGTAATGTTTGTAATCATGTCTCCAGTATGCTGTTTGAACCATGACAGTGGATAAATTTAGTCCACTGATTAATGAAGCACCAAGTGTTAACTTCTTCATCCAGTAAAGATAGCATTGATTCCGGAATCGTATCAATTAACAAGAGTCCTGTCATCATAAAATCAATTACTCCCTTCCATTTCAATACATTTAGTTTAAATTGAACTTCGTTACCAAGTGGCAGTCCATTTAGGCACTTAGAGCTTCATATAATAAACAAAGTTTAGGATGTCTTTCACTTAAAGAGAAGGTTGACTTCTGGGAAGAGGTGAAAAATAATTGGTGAGCGTTATCATTGTTATTATGCAAGTATGGAAGAACATCAGATAAAACATGTTCCCTGAAAAGCATGGCCCTTCAAATGCCTTCATATTCTAAATATGACGTGTAACAGCGAAAAAATCGGGACAAATTTTTATGCCACATGTTCATGTAGTCCCATATACATATTTCTGTGTACAGTGCTTGTAACTTTACCAAGACTGTGTCAAATTTCTTATCATTTTGATGATTCCAGAACCTTGCAGTACACATCAATTCTTATAGGCTAGATGATCAACCTTTTCTGATCGATTCCACACAGTTTCTTTCACAATGCAATCGCATGACCAGAACTCAACTTCATCTTTAAATGAATACTTGCTAATTTTGTGTTGTACTACCTTTTCTCCTCAAATTATGGTATTAACTACAGGGATGGTATTATGAAAATGATGTTACATGTATTCCTATGTTAGCAAAACAATCATATGTTAATTGTCATAACGAATAAAAAATAGAAGAAGTTATTGGTCCAGCTACATGTACACTTGCATAAAGTTAACAGAGACATGCGCAAGCACCGCACCAATGGTAAAAGTTAGTTCCCTGCATCTTTAGTTATTATGACAAATGACATCATTTTCCTAACATACAGAAATTACAGATATCATCCTTTTAAGAATATGGCCTGTTTGCATGTAGGCTGGGTATGGAGGATCAAGCCATGAATGTAAATACACAGACATAACAGACAACAAAATCAATATTTTGAAGAATCACATTCTTTTTCACTTTAATAATAAAACATGAATAGAAACAATCTGTATTTAGTATATTAATCTAGATACCAACATAAAATGAAGGAAGAAGATCACTTAAGAGTGACTGGGAAAAAAGTGATAGTAAAGAATGAAGATTGAAGGAATTTTTTCAACAAATACATGTATCACCTTTTGGTTACAAGCATTTAAAGTCTAATTGACTTCATAAGCAAGAGCCCTTCCTCATATCCAAGGATCATAATTTTGAAATAAATGTACAAACAATGTATGTATCTAATAAGGTCTTCATAAGTTTCCAGTATATTTTTTTTTCTAATCTTCATTACCAATGAGGTATCATAACCATGTAAAGTGAAAATGATTATTGGGCTAATCATGAAGAGGGTGAATAAGTTTGTGAAAAAAAGAAAAAAAGAGATACTTGGTCAGTATTCAAGCAATAGAGGAATTCCGTTTACAGTTCCTTGCTTTGGTCTTGCATGGTTTACCAGTAAATGTGGATACATTCATGTGCATGTAGTACATACAGTTTCTCCATCCCTCCACCAAGCCTAGCTTTGGGAGTCTTTCATCTTTAATGATCAGTTATTTCATGGGGATACCAATTAATTTGTATTTCACCTGTTTATAAGCTTGTGTATTTATCTATTTTGTTTTTGCTGCAGAGTGTTATTTGTTTTAATCTTACCAAACGGGGCCTCTTGGAAGACCACCAAATTGGTGATATGTGCCACCACCCTGTATAAATATCAGAAATAAATACAAAATAAATAAATAAAAATGCAATCGGAGAGACTGCCCTACCATGGTATGACAGCTGGCAAATTCCACCAAGAACCTCTGCAGTAGACCCACTTACCAACATACATGTATTCAAATTTCAGGCATACTATTAAAACAAAAGTTGTGCTTGACAATCTGAAATTGTGCCAGAGGCTTACCCGACATACCATCAAGTAATGCAGGCAGACCAAGTATGTCATTCATTCATTGATAACAGGTTAATGTAATACTTCGTCACTAGATCCTCGGGGAAAAAACATCCTTAAATTTGAATACATGAATAGTGTATGTTTCTTAACAGGTCTATTGAAACCTAGATATATACATGTATATATATAGCTTCAATTTAATTTTACTGAGATTTCAAACTTTCAAACAAGATTTTTAATTTACCTAAAGACTTCCAGAAATCAACAGTTGCAGGACATGAGACATAGCTCTGTGAACCATTGATGGATACAGACTCAAAATAGGTTGCAGGGATTCTCTTCCTCAAACACATACATCTCCAGTACAGTCACTACTTATTGTGATACTGAAGATCAAACAATCTATTATCTTGCTCTTATTTCAATCCAGAACTCATAAAGTCTCTTTCTTCTCCACCTGAAAAGCACTATTTCCGGTCATAAGTATAATTTGCGGAGCTGTGAGGGGGCCGTGATCAGCTGACATTGAGGACAAAGTTTCTTGGAGGCCTGTAAAAGACAGAGAAAGAGAAATAAGCAATCATCAGTTTGGTAATTGTGCCTTTACTGCTGTTGTGCACATGGTACAATTTTGGTGGGTCCTCCTCACTGCTACCTCCATTCAAAGGTTGTGCTCTTGTGCAAAATATTTTTTTCATACTTTATATGTATTTTCATAAAAGCCAACAAGACTATCCCACGTTTTTTCATTACAATGGCAATGCTACCAACCAAAAACTTTCCCGAACAAAAAAAGAAGAGAAATAATGGATGTCACAAGTTTTTGAATTTCAATTCACAGCACTGCCCTTTGAGAATCTAAAGCACGATTTGCTTTGGGTGTTGATCAGGAACACATGTAAGCAGGATAAGTACGATGTGACATAATGATCATATCAATGGACCTCTTGAAACCAATCTACAAAGCAAATGCAGGCAATGTTTTTCTTACCAAAGTTTTTAACCAGCAGTCCTCACAGTGAACATGCCAGCACTGGATGGAAACTAAGGGCGTGTTGTAGGCACCCATACAGATCTGACATTTTAACCTCCCTCTCCCGTTCCCGCTCTCCTCCTCCAACTCCTTCACACGAGCCTTCAGACTCTCCACCACGATCTGAATGCCAGCAGACGGAAGACCCACATGCTTCTTCACCGAGTGTTTAGTCTCTGTTTCCGTCCCGCTTTCACCATTGCACTGTGCACCTAAGCATGCTTCGATGAGGAGGTTATCGTTGACATGGTCCTCGTAGCCGACATCGCCGGTGTCTTGAGATGATCTAGAGGGGCACCTTGCCATGACATCTTCCTCCGCATATTGCTGAGGGCCAAATTGCTCTGTTTCGTCACCATCAACATCAAGATCAATGTCGTCTTCATCATTCGCATCTTGGGATTTCCGCGATGATGTAATCTGATATCCTAGACCTAATTCAAAATACACAAAGAGTAAATGTACACGTAGAATATCTTACAAATGTTCATGTATAAATATTATATGTTCTAAATTATTTAAAAGATAAAATGGCAGCACATGCATTCTACATTCAAAGTACTGAAAGAATTAGATGGAAAGGGAGGGGTAATTGTTTCCATACCGAAGGGCCAGTTGGCTACAGATTTTTAAAATTTGTAATTAAATGGCTCAATCGACAACACAACCACATACCGTAATAATTAGTTTTATGTTTCAAAGAAATTGGAAAGTAAATTTTACAATAAACTAAGTGTTTTTACTTTTTTTCTTTTTGACATAGAAAAGCTGTATCCTTTGATTTTGCATCAAGAACTCTTGGTGGTCAAAGCATCACGCAGTCTTATTTGATCGTGCAAACTTGGCAAACCATACTTAACTTTCTGGGGCAATTTCAACAGCAGAAATCAATTTGTCCTCCAAAACTCTCACCCTTCAAATGCTCTGATCCAACATCAAGTTAGTGGTATTGGCCGATGTTTAAAAAAAAAAAAAAAAAAAAAAAACCCAAACCAAATCAAAAATGATAATGGGACCACTAACCTTGATAACCCCCTGGCACCAGGCTGACAGTTCTAAGCCTTGTCTCCCCCATCCATTCATAGGTATCATATGAATCATCACCAGCTGCTTCTCCCTCCTCTACCACCCCACTGCCTCCTCCTCCTCCTCCTGCATACTCGCCCAGCCCTTCACCGTCTACATCCACTGCATCTTCTGCCGCTCCGTTGGTAGCAGGTGCCGTTGAAGGGCAGCCTGTTAGGCAGTTCTCCACGTGGCGATTTCTGTCCACTTCTGATCCTGTTTAATCAAACCACATTGGAAAGCACGTTTGAGCATTGTTAAAGTCAATCAATGAAATATGTAGAGAGTACAATGGCCATGTTTTAAAAAGATTCACAACATACAAAGCAGTGCACAATAGTTCCAATGAAAATTCCTCTGAAAGAAAAGTCCACTGAAAATGTTAGCTTGTCATTAGGACGATGTTATTTCCAGGACAATATTGAAATGGTTTTATGGTCAGTGGAATAATTGTTCAACGTGTTGCCCCAAAATGCTAAATTTAATAGGAGCTACAGTTGAATAAGAGAAGGAAATATTTCAGAACCTGACTATAAAAGAGTCAAGAAAACAATGTATTCACATTTCTACCACCACATTGTAGATATCAAAAATTAGTTTTATTCAAATTACAAAAAATCTGTGATACCTGATTGACACCGTTGAAATAACATTGAATCATATTTTAATGGCCACAACTTTGTTGATTCTTGCCCATTTTGCAGTCAATGGGGTATCTACTCACCTATTAGAGGAACAAAGCATACAGGACAGAGCATAGTGTCAGGGTTGCACTCTGGAATTTCATGCAATTGTTTCTTCCTCTCCCGTGCATGCCTGTTAGCCCTTACATCTAGTAATAAGAGTTGAGGATCAACCGCCACACTGCCCTCGCTGTCACCATCACTGGATGATGACGTCTCACTGTCGCTCTCATTTCTGGTCCTCCTACGCTTGCGTTTGATTATCCGCTTCCTTCCATTTCCATCTTCCCTCTCTTGCTCTTTGGACAAGGTGTAAGAAACTGCTGCATCCTTCTGGACCCGTCCACGCCTGACAATGTTGTCTATCTGCTGCACCTCAGAGCGGAAATGTTGCTCTACTTCCGAGGGTCTCACAGTAATCCCGCACACAGGGCAGATCTGGTTTCCTTCAAGCGAGCGCCTTCTGCCTGAAGATCGGCTGCTCTTGCTAGCAGTGTTGTTAGTGGAAGTCGGTGGTACCTCAGCTACAGAGCTTTTCTCATCTAGCACTTCTTCACTAAGGCTTTCTTTCACACTGGAACCAATGGATTGGTTGATAACTTGTCGAAGGCTGCGGCGCTTAGGATTTTCTGCCATGGCATGTTTTCTTTGTCATCAGTAAGAGTTTGCTTCACTTGCTAGTTAGGCTACATCTCTTTCATTTATGGTATCTGCAAAATACAAAAGTAAAAAAATTTGTCCTAAAATGCTATTACACTTCTGCTAATTGAAATCCACCAGTATACTTTCGTTTGTGATGTAGAATCAAGAGGTCAACAACATTGCCAATTTTGCAATAATTATTTCCAATCGAGGCGTGCTCTAGAGTTTATCTCAGATACTCGGTAATAAAAAAATTTGTGTTTGACAATTATATCATGATATGTGATGTGCTATTAGAGTAAAGGAGGGGGTAAACGACCAGCTCCAGTTTTTGGCCGATCCGTTGGATGCATAGTAAAAAACCCTTTAAAATACATCGCATAATAGCATATCACATATCCCACACATACCATACCATGCCAGAGTCACTGAAGAACCACATTTGCAATGGAAAATATATCCTAAAATATCACATTTTAGCGATGTAATCGACGGTCCCGCTACCCAAATCTGAAAAATCGAGTTTGTTACGCGTGTATGTAAGAAATATGGGTACCATAAAATGAGCTTTATTTCAAGTATTTTTCAGATTTAGAGCCCGGTTTTGTGTTAGTCGCAAGCTCAAAAGTATCTCATCGCATGTATTAAATCAATGCAGCCGGACCCCGCAACGCACACACGATATGTCTGTCTAATTCAGATTCCAACTTCCGATCATTGCAGTGCTAGTCTTCGACCAGGCGAGCACCCGGGAGCTCCGGCGTGGGATACCTGCTCCGCCCGCTTGTGCTATAGATCAGCGCGGAAACGCACGGCGCGCACGCGCGCTTCCTATTGACTTTGTACATGCGGTCGTAAACTGAATCGCTAGGTCGATAACTGGCTCCAAAACAGTGAAAATTGAAATGAATATTGTCATGGCAATTTGTGATCTTTTTTCTGGGATTCTTTTTCAGTTTAAATAATAATAATATTTGCTTCTTGATTTGAACAAGAAATGATCATAAATAGGAAGTAAAGAGTCCAAAAAATAGGATTTTGTCTAAAGTGGCCGAAAACCCCCTCCTTTACTCTATGCGATGTATTTTAAAGGGATTTTACCATGCATCCAACAGATCGGCCGAAAACTGGAGATGGTCGATTACCCCCTCCTTTACTCTATAAGTTATTTTATAAGGACAAATATTATTCATGATGGTTAGTCCTCTTTGATAAATATTTTTTTCTCATTTTTTCATTCAACTCCCCCCCCCCCCCCCAGTGCCAGAGAGGGACAGGCACGGGGGCACACCCCTCATCTTGAATCCACCTGTCCCCTGCATGATCAGATGATCAACCATCACTAATACAGAACACTCCAGTCTGACAATAAGTGACAGCAAAGTGACAATAATATTAATAATACATTACATTTATAAAGCGCTAATAATAGTTGTTTCTAAGCGCAAGAAGAAAGGAAAAGAAAGGGAAAGTGAGAGATATAGGCGCGAGGCATTAAAATTGATTGAAATTATTTTTAAAATAAAAATATGAAACTGTGACAGCTGAGTGTGAAACTGAAAGTAGGGAGGCCAATGCCCGGGCGTAAGGCTTCTACACCTACGATTTGTGCGCTCGTCGCCCACTTCAAAAAATTAGCAAAGGGAAAAAAATGATGTAAAAATAAAAACTGAAGAAAATAAGAAAAGAAAATACAATTATACATTTCACAACATACCTATAATCACGGATCTGTAACAGTCTTTCCCCATTTGTTGACAATCTTGCAGATTTTGACGTTTTTTAATCCAATAATTGTGGTTGCAGACAACCTTGACGCACTCGCACCACCGACTAAGAAAATCCTAGAGGGCGTAGAGGTTTGCTCACTAAAAACCTTCTCATTGGCAGAAGGTAGACCCTAAAAATATGGGATCCGTTTTGAGTAAAGAACTTTTGATAGAGATCAACATTTCAGATGTTCACAATTGCCACTTTTAACAACTAGAAAATATAAAGAAAAAAGATTATATCTTTTTAAATACAGATTTTTACAAACTGAACATTCGAAAGTAGATAGAGTACGATGTTTCTGTCAATCTTGCGTTGGTTTGAGCCCTATAGCTACATCCATCTCAAAATGAGAAGGAAAACAGTGAACAGTGACGTCATTGTTCGCGCCAAAAATAAAGGGTATTGCGACATAATCTGAGCTCCGGTCAGCTTGTGTAAAGCGTAGTCTTATTTATAGACCCTAGTACCTTATTCTCACAGCACTAGATACGAGTGTCGTGCAGTAATGTATGAGAAGTGTTAAAAAAGATATTTCAGTAAAAAAAAAGTCTACGTGAGCAGTCTATACTCCAATTGAGAATTGAAATGAAAGCCATGATTTGAAGATGTGTGTTGTATGATACATGGTTAGTGAGTGTGTATGTTACGTATAGCGAAAGGGAGAGAGAGAGAGAGAGAGAGAGAGTGAGAGAAATATTAGTACACGTACGTTGCATGCATGGATGTGCGCTATGATTGTGTTCGCTGCAAGATGGATGTTAATTGGACCTCGTAACTTCTCGATCGTTGATAATAAGGAATACTCATGAGGAAATCAAATTATTGGAATACACATCTAAGGTAAATTTCAATGAATTATATATATTCTATTCTTCATTTTTGAACCATCGTCTTCGGCTCGTAGTAGTAGAAGATGTAATCGTTCGCACATTGATGGCTGGACTTCAGCCTGCATCGGGGCTTGCCTGTGTCGGTGGAGGGATCAACTAAGAAGAAGAAGGTGTGTACGTGTGCGACAGATTCAAGGCTAGCCGCTGTTGAGTGATTGCACTTTCGCGCGAAGTTTTAAACTTCATCATGAACTTTGTCCCTCGGGCCTGTCTAATTATGAACGTAACTTTGCGACATGAAATATAATTGTTTCAAGGCTCTTACGTACGGAAAGGCGTAGAAGGAAGCTGGATAAAAAGAGCTGGATATCTCCTATTTGATGGAACTTCTGGAGTCGGCAGATGGGTGGATTTTCTTAGTGAAAGTAAATGCTTTCTTTTAATCTTAGTTTTAGTATAAACAAATTAGTAATTAAAAAGTTAGATTTGGGCATTGGCCTCCCTACTGAAAGTGAAAGATCAAGATCAAAAACTATCTACAGATACAGCACGAAGCAAATATATCGTTTATCCATGTACAATGAGTTTACGAGCACCCATTGGGTGATCAATCTAGCAAAAAAAATCCCAAGTAACGCCCCCGGGCGCTGATCCAATCAGAAAATTGATGCGTAAATCAGCTTGACCTTAGTTTGACTTGGGCGGCTACTTTGCTCTTCCGTTCGGGCGTCCGATCGACTCCTCGGTTTTCCGAACGATTCCTCGGTTAGGTTTTTCGGGTTTCGGATAATACCGGCAAGTTTAATGACCGTGGGAAAGCGAGCCAAGTTATGCGCATTGCGGCATGATTTGAGTTCATGGAAAGTTCAACTGCGCGTGCCTCGCCAGCTCAAGCAATGCAGTCTAGTCATTGGTGTTATAATTAGCATTGGCGAAATGAAAATCATAATCTAATGGAGGAGATTAATTATGTGCAATATTAATTGTCATGATGATTGGCACAGCAGGTTCTTCCATTCATTCATATTTTGATGTTGCATGTACTTTTATCCTTCCTCTCACTCTCTCATCCCTTTTCTCTATCTGAACTTGCTACTTTCAGATTTTCCTTTTCTTCTTCAGTTCTGGTCTTTCCTCTCTATTTCTATTTCACTCCCACCCCCTGTCTCTCTGTCTGTATCTCTCTCTCTCTCTCTCTCTCTTTGCTCTCTCTGCCTCTTCCTCTTTCTCCCTTCGTCTCTCCTTCATCCCCTCTGTTTCTCTCTCACACTTTCTGTCCCTCCCTCCTCCTCTCCACCTCTTTTCTCTTATGATGATGTTTTACAGTACAACATTCTATAATTATATGTTATTTTTATCATATTTTGTGGGTTGCACAGGAGCAGGGTCCACGTCCCGCAACCTGGGTGTCATGATTTCTTGAAGCCATGATAGCTGATGCTCCTACATGTATGTAAATACATACATGTATTAATACATTTAAATATCAATTTACCAATTAAAATGGAAAACAAGTTCATAAACATTAGACATGATTGTCGTAATGAGCTGTGCTGCTCATAATTAGGAAATGTATTAGTTGTACAAAGCAAAAGAGATGACTCAATGAGTGCGGACAGGCGCGGATCCAGGGCGAACGGACTTTGCCGCCCCCCCCCTCCCGCAAAAAGAGAGAGAGAGAGAGAGAGAAAGAAGGGAAAGAGGAGAGAAAGGGAAAGAAAGAAGAGGAAGAAGAAAAGAAAAAGGGGAAAGGAGATCGGGCGGCAAAAGGGCCTTGCCTCCCAGCTGTTACCTCCCCCCCCCCCCCCCCCCCCCATCACAAAATAAGAGAGAAGGAAGGAAAGGGAAAGGAAAAAGAGGAGGGAAAGGAAAAAGAGGAGATAAAGGGAAAGAAAAAAAGAGAAAGAAGATAGTTAAGGTGTAGATTGGGGGGGGGGGGGGTTGGGCTTGGGGAAGGGGGTGACAGATGCCCCCAAAATATAATTCAAACGTGGTTTATTTCTAATTCGATACCGGTGATTTACAAATATTACTAAAATGACATGATTTTCCTAGATTTTTTTATGAGTGTTGGGAAATGGCAAATTCCTAAATAAGGAAAAAAGAATAGTGACCTGCCTTTGTCACAAAATAATGAGGAGTCAAAATGTGCTCATCTGACCGTAATTAAAAGCCTATATTCCCTGAGCTTCTGTGTGCTCCTCCCCTTGACCCCCGCCGGGGCTTCGACCCTAGACCCCACGCTAATTTACGTTACGTTGATCGTTTCTACCCCCCCCCCCCTCAAAAAAACAAAAAACAAAAAAAACACCAACAACAAACATCAACAATAACACGTTTTTGCTCATTTCGCCACTGCTGGGTCACCATTACGTACCAATATTTGGCTTGCATAATTTCAAATCCCCCCCCCCCTAAGAAATTCTGGATCCGCGCCTGAGTGTGGAGGTATATGTATGTATTGATTGATTGAGTTTTATTCGACAAGCTTCGAACATACAACATTATACAATAATAACAAATCAACAAGTCAGCTTGAACAGGATAACCCACGAGAGCTTATTTCCAGTGGGGTCCCTTACAGAATAGTCATATTTACAGACAGATAAGAAAAATAAAAGAATTACCTTTTAAAGATAATAATAATAACATGAAACTGATGATAGAAATGATAATAAGTACAAGAAGAAAAGGAAGAAGGAGAAGAAGAAAAAGAGGAGGAGGAAGAAGAAGAAAATAATGATGAATTAGTAGAATTTCTATAACGTACGAAAACATAAATATATACAAAATGAAAAAGTATGAACCGGCAGAAGAATACAAATTTCAATCACATGTCATTCACTTCTCCGACTGTCAAGTATTAGGTTTTCCTTTAATTTCCTCTTAAAATGAGCATAGTTTTTTTTTTGAGCTTTGAAAATTGACATCCAACACAAGGCCCCCCCCCCCCCCCCCCGCTCTCTCTCTTTCTCTCTCCTTCTCTCTTTCTCTCTAATTATTTATCTCAATGTCATACCCCCTTTCCATCACATCTCACTCTGATCTAATATGAAATTGGACTGAACAGGAAAAGAATGACCGCATCAAAGATGTATGCACTTACATAAGTTATACATTTAATGATACCCTCCGACATCTCTGAATAACATATTTGAATACATAGAGTAGAATAGAATAGAAATGGTTCTTATTAGAAAAATCATCGCAGCCAATGGCTGAATTGCGATCCATTTCACAAACATACAATTGCAATTTAAATTGAAATAACACAAAATATGACATAAATAAAAAATCAAACATAGACCCCCGATAAACATTTAAAAAGTCATTGATCAAATTCAAATTTTTATTAAATAAAAGACAGAGAAAGAGAGAGGTGTAGAGGAGGGAGAGTTGGAGTGATGATAAAGAGAGAGAAAGAGAGGAAGAGAGGAAGAGAGAAAAAGAGAGAGAGAGAGAAGGGGGGACGAAAGAGTGAGACGGAAAGAGAGAGAGATATATATATACATTTATGAATATAATAAGCGATGACTGAAAGCATAACATTGATAATAATATGATACTACACATACAAAAAAGAAATATTAAACAAATAATTACCAAAAAAAAAAAGCTGCCCCCAACCCCACTAATTTTTTTTACCCCCCCCCCCCCAAAAAAAAAAAAAATGCAACATTGTTACTGAAAATAATTTGGGAAACTCAATTATATAATACTGTCAAACGATCAAAATCCTCTCAAGATTTAACCATTTTTATCAAATTTGTCAGTTTTGTTAGCAAGTATACTAACCTGCCTCTCATTTATGAAACTATTACTGATATGTTATTTTATTGTCATATTACAACTTTCCATTTCGGACTTGTATTTGCATTTAATTATTTGACAGAGTGCTTTAATTATTTGACAGAGTGCTTTAATTATTTGACAAAGTGCTTATTATTTGACAAAGAAATTAATGTAGGAATAGAGACCACCAAATCTCGGATGAGCACCCTTCGGAGCTTAGTTAGTTCCTGGTGTGTTTTTACAAAACGCCGAAATCATATTGCCGTTTCCCCCAGGCCAGGCAATTTCCCCCAGGCCAGGCAGTTTCCCCCAAGCCAGGCCGCGCAAACGCGTAACCATGGAAATACTACGAACGCTGACCACAACCAGTTCAAAGTACAACATATACGCAGTCACAATCAGACGTAAACACGGCGAACGATTTCATACGACACTCAGCTGTATGGTTCGGAATTATTACCGAACAAAGGAAGCAAACTTCGGCTCTGACGCCCTAGCTGTCAATCATACAAAAATGGATACCAAAAACACTGAAATTTCAGGCTTTAAACAGGTGACGCACTTTACACATAGGTGACGCACACATGGCGTTCCATACACATGCAAACGAAACGTGAACGGACATTTCAGGAAAAGAATCAAGTTTGTACCTTGAATATGACTTTTTTGATAATTTTTCTTAGTTAAGTAAGACTTATACTTAAGTGAAATACTTAAGTGAAATACTTAAGTGAAAAAATCATTAAAAATAGAGGGTTTGACTGAAATATCACAATTTTGGTATTGAAAAAAACGGAAAATAGTATGCTCTCTCGTCGCACTCAAATTTGTAACGTTAAGCGAATGGCGGGTCTTTTACATCCAATCAGAAGGAACAAGAACGTTGATTCGTGGGCGGGGCGCGGGCGGGTAATTCAAATGAGGCGGAGACCGATTAAACGTAACTGCGCAAGCGCTAAATGTAAGGAATATTGCTTCGTGTACAGTACAGATTAAGTCATAGGGCCTACAGATTATTTTATTTTTAAGTCAAACAAGTCAATAATACAGACAAATGGGAGCTGCATTCTCACATGGGGAAGACAATAGACACATATTCTACCACCAATCAAAATATTGTTCAATCAATCAATCAATTTTTGTTTGGCATTTCTTAATCACTAGCTTTGCTGAGCTCAGCTGAGGCCCAGACGTCAGACGCACATACAATAGATACACTGTAGGACTTATTATTGCATCGGTATATATTTCATATATTCACTCATACTCATTACTTAAAAACAACAGTTTTCAAATAAACCGCTGCAACTTTTGAAACAAATGTAGATGCATACCCTTCCTATGAGTTATCGGAATGCGTTCCTTAGCTTACAAAAGTAAACATTTGTGGATGCTAGATGATTTCCATGGATTTTCCAGATAAAGTTGCTCGGGATAAAGTTGTATTCAGAGGACGATACGGTATACGGTTGTTATTTGTTAGCTGAAGAAAGCTAGGCTTGATTAACATCGTTAGTAATTAAAATTGAATTTTTAAATTATACATTTTTAAATATTACTAGATGTATATATTGCATTATAATTTCAAATATGTAGATAAATTAATTTGATAGTTTTTTATCTTTCATATTTATTTTAACTATTAATATTGTCATTATTATTTGTATACTTGTCCTTGGAGCAAATCTAGTCTACACAGGCACTGAATGTGTACACGAGATTTTGTTAGGTCCCATTCAATACATTTTGTGTAAGTTTTCTGCATGGATGAATGAAACAAGTTTACCGAACAGGGTTCATCTTTAGTTGCAAGTAAACTCTATCATATGATGGCATCTGGTGAATCATCAGAGAAAGGAACAAAACGTGTAATTGAAGAGGAAGAAGAAGATGAGGAGTGGATTGGTCCAATGCCTGCAGAGGCCATCAAACCTAAAAAGAAAAAGGGTAAGTGAGGCTGAACAAACAATAGACAATCACCTCGGCGAGTCTAGGTTGCCTGCCCAGCGGCCCGGGCGGGGAGATGTCGGGCTACTAGCGGCGCGACTCGGCGGGTACCAGAGCGCTAGCTAATCGCGCGTTGCGAGCTCGAGTATTGAGCTACATTTTTGGGCGCTTGTTCAGAAGCCTATCCAAAATTTGACCCGTAACTCCGGCGTGGAGATACCTTAATAAAAACCCCCGAAGATACCCAAAATGAAGATCATGAGTTACCTGTTTCGTGTCAATTTTCTTATCTTTTTCAGAGTATTTTTCCTAAAAATGAGACTTAGATCTAGGCCTATAGACTAATATGCACTTTGTCGCGGGATTCCCGGCAAACTGCAGCACAATACAATCGCATACCGTACTGACATAGTCGGGTGCAGGCGCGGGCGTGTGTTAAGTTAGCGACTGTAATCTTAGTAGGCATATTCATGGGGCACTAGAGGGCGCTTCGGTCGCGTACGAAAATCTGAATGGCCTTGCTGCGGTGGGTCGGCAATAATCAGCCCAATACTTGGATATGGGAGGTTGGAAGGATATATCTTTTTTATAATGTTATCCGGTCTTACCCTTAACCATCCTATGTTTAATCTATGTAGGAATAACATGCGAGTATGATAAGAGAAACATCGGGACCATTACTGAAGTAACTTTTAAAATATTAGCCTAGAAATGACCACCAAATGGAAAAAATTGACATTTTTTCCCGACAAATCTTCATAAAATCTGAGTTATAAACAATTCACATCTAGGTGCACTAATACAAATACGATTTTCTGAAAATTCAGGTATGATTTTTTAAGTTTCTTTCAGGTATATTTCTGCGCATTGCAGCGCCAATATTCTTCACTGCTTCAAAATCACCCTTGATTTTTTTTTTGCAACGAATTTGATACGAGGTCCGCGAGTGTTCCCCGTTCCTTGCGTGTTGAAAGTTTGGTAATACATAGTGTGCACTGACTCGCGCACGAAAAAATGGTCAAAAACAAAATGTCAAATGAAGAAATAAACAAGCTTTTGTATAGTTATAAGAGTTCTACCGAGGTAATATTGGTCTAGATCTAAGAGCAGAGGCAAAACATGCAGGCCGCCATCTTGAATTATAATGTAGGTAGACCTCTATGCATTATAATCCAAGATAGCGGCCCGCATGTTTTGCCTCTGCTCTTAGACCAATATTATTAATTTCAAAGTCATGAAAAGGCACTAAATATCAACAATCATTGTCTACAACAACTCCAAATGACAAAATAATCCCAGCCATGAACTTTTTTTGAGCATTTGACAGCTAAAAACTTTAAAATTTTCGTCATTAAAAAAAAAAAAAAAACCTACATTATAATCCAAGATGGCGGCCCGCATGTTTTGCCTCTGCTCTTAGACCAATATTATTAATTTCAAAGTCATGAAAAGGCACTAAATATCAACAATCATTGTCTACAACAACTCCAAATGACAAAATAATCCCAGCCATGAACTTTTTTTGAGCATTTGACAGCCAAAAACTTGAAAATTTTCGTCATAAAAAAAAAAAAAAAAAAAAAAATTGCCGATTTTTTTCCGATCATTTTAATTGATCGGCGATCGGAAATTTTTCGCCGATCACCCCTGATTGGATCGGTATCGGCGGCCGATCCGATGATCGTTTACAGGGTTAGGCTATACCCATGAAGGAGATACTCTCTGCGACTGCGGAGAGACTCAGAAGATGGACCACATCTTGCAGTGCGGCGGAACGGGTTGCACAGATGACGACGTGGCCCTTGTTAATGAATCGGCCATTGCAGCAATCGGGCGATGGAAGAACTTAATTTAGTTAATTTACTTTTAATTAAGGAACTTTACATAACTATCTTGATCTAAAGGAGACACGAATGAATGAACCTTCTACATGTATTTTGAGATTATCAGCTATCTTCCCTCCTTTTTTTATTTTAAATTTTAAAAGAAATGCTTTACTTTTATTAATCAGTGTTTCTCAATAACCCTGTTAGTTATAATTTGCTTTGAAAGTTCTATGCGTTTACCATAGACTCAAATTTCCCAAGAAATCCCTGGCTTGGCATTCAACAAGTTATTTTTTAATTTTGGTTAATTGATTTACAGTGCTAGATTTTGAGAATGTTTACCTGGATAACATGCCTTCAGCTGAGCTGTATGAAAAGAGTTTGATGCACAGGGACGTTATCACTCATGTTGCTGCAACAAAGTAAGAACAACAGAACCACTTCTATATTTATATGACCCAACTCTATGTCTACCCTTTGTGTCAGTGTACTATAAAATCATGAATACTGTAGATTTCAGATACATCTCACTCTTCATTTACCGTACATGAAAAGAAATTGAATCAGAGAGGATTAAAAAATACTGCCAAACATCAAGTATAGTTTCCCAGTAGTCTTGAACTGCACACTTAATCCAGACTTATTTGGAGAGATACTGAATTTCAGGAGGCACATACATATATTGAGTACTTATCAAATTTCTGTCTAAATATCTTGATTATTCATGAATATGTAAATCTGAACTTGTACATGTATGTAATTGCTTTTAAAGCTTATTTCAATCCGATACTTTCAGTTTTCTTTGGTTTCCAAATTACATTACTGAGATTTTTCTAGGTATATAGCATGCATTTTAATATGTTTTCACCTTCTCTACACAGGACAGAGTTTATCATCACTGCAAGCTGTGATGGCCATGTCAAGTTCTGGAAGAAGCAAGAGGGCGACATTGAATTTGTGAAACATTTCAGAGCACATTTAGGTACAAAAGATGTCTCTATTATGATTGTCATGACTACATTTTCATTTTCATTTCATTTTCATTTTATTTTATTTCATTCGTCATATAAAAAAAACATACATGATTAAAACATTGATATTTACAGATAAGTAAAGTACATACAAATAACATTACGAAAGACAAACATAAAATACAAATATATATACGAATAAGGAACCAGCAAGAAAGAACATTTAAGTCTTGTGTGGGGCTGGTCCCTAGCGACAATTTTAACCTATAACACTTAACACCTAACACATAACAACTAACACCTAACATCTAAAACCTGATTGCATATATAAAAACTAATAAAATACTATTCACAAAAACGTAATTGTTTGTATCGTCTTTTAAATGTATTCAGAGTTGGGCTTGATTTAACGTTAGGAGGTAACTCGATATAAACAATATTACATGTATTTTATTCAATACGTATCCAATTGGGATAATTTACACACATACAGTATATATTGCCATTTAGCAATTTAAGGAAGTAATTGAAGGAGTATTGAAAGAGCAATGTTTGTCACATTGTCCTTTAAATCTCATAGTAGTTCACCTAGTATTAATTATACATGTATTATACATGTTAATGTACTTAACCTCACTTCAGGCAATATTTGAATAATTTTATGGCAAGATATTTTCTAATGCAAAAGTTTTTTCTTGTTGATAATTGTGGATGATTTTTTTTTAATTGGCTGAATGTTTGACCAAAATAGTGTCATCTAGTCATCAAAATACACTTGTCCTGGCCAAAGATTTATTATCTACTTTATGCATCCTGTCCACCATATTTCATATTTATATTTTGCTATTTCCTGTCATGAGCTAAAACTATGATTGCCTTGCATCAAAGCTAGTGAACCTGTATGTTTCTCATTGTTTTTCAGGTAAGATACAAGACATATGTGTGAGCAGTGATGGAGCATATCTGTGTACAATAGCAGATGACAAATCTTCCAAGATCTTTGATGTTACAAACTTTGGTAAGATTCTTGAATCTTTTCATAATAGTAATATAAAGATGAGGTTTATCAAGTGCATGAATAACTGTCCAGAGTCTCTTTATATGCCTAGCATGGTAAATGCAACAGAAACAAATTAATCATGCTTGCAAACTTTTATTCTATGCTCAGTGTTAGCAATGCAGTTGCAGATTTCCTCCTTACCCGTATGAATCAGCACTTCCTCTTCAAATTCATAACAATGGTGTTTTCATTTCACTATTGAACTATTGCTTTAGAAATACTCTGTGTTTTAAGTGGAGACTAATCAATGTACATAATGTACTATACATAAATATTCATAAATGAATGATATACGCCAATACAAACTAAAACAATAACAACAAATGTACCAAATATCATTTGAGCTGTAAGATTTATGAGGGGAAAAAATATCGACTTATCAATGGATGCAAATGTTGTCAGCTGTTGATTTTATTGTGGAAGGCTATTAAAACACAACGTTTAATTGCTTATGATATACAATGTAATGTACTTGGCATAAACTGTAGTCATCATCCTAAATCATAGTATGTTCATCATCCTTTTCCCCCATCAGATATGATCAACATGATGAAGCTATCCTTCATACCCGGTCGATGTCAATGGATCTACAGGGCAGGGGATGCCATACCTTCACTCGCTATGTAAGCATCTAACAAACAGAAAGTCTCTTGCTATTATTATTAAAATACTCTAATCAAAGTTTTGTTTTCTTTCTTGTCCTGAAGATACTTGTTAAAAAAGGCCTCAAAGCCGCTATCAACGTTTTAATAGTTATCCAATTTTTAAAACAATTTCTGGTAATGAAATATCCTCTTTTTTTAACCTTTACTCCATGGCCATAACTCTCTTGAAATTTAAAGGCACAAGTGGGTAAATGATTGGTTGAAAGTAAAATTTAACAACGAAAGTTAGATCAATATCTAAGATTTATTTTAATGTTCAGCACAGCTTTGTTCCAGTGGATGTGAAATAGTACATGAATGATGTATCTAAGGGCTTGCTAGAGGTTAATTATATTTAACACTTAAAACAATTTGATTTTTTATTTCCCTTTACTAACAATATAAAGTAAAATAGTGAAATATGTCAAATTGATGACTTTGAAGCTTAAATGCTTTTGCTCCTATCTTCATACAAGTCTTTGTTGTTATTTGCTATGTTTTTTTTCCTTTCTTACTTTCAGATCTGACAGTGAGAGTGGTAAAATTCATGTCTTTGATGGAAAGGGTACTAATGAACCCATGCACACATTAGACAAAAAGCATTCTGCACCAGTCATACTTATCAAGGTGAGAAATATTCACATATCATATATGCAAAGTCTACTTTTCATTTACTGCCTATGTGTCACAGCCTCTATAGAGCTTGGATCTCACCAAATGGAATGTCAAATTATATCTTCTGATTTTGATTTTTGTTCATGATAACATAACATAACATAACATTCTAATTGGTAAAATTGGATACAAAATAACCAGATACATTGGACTTGGCCCGTTTACATATGTATTTGTTGAATTGTTGTCTTTTTGCCTGCAGTACAATCCAGTGTTTGAGGTGGCTCTGTCCGTGGATAAACAAGGCATCTTAGAGTACTGGATGGGACCCAAGAAAGACTATCGCTACCCATCATGTGTTAGCTTTGAGTTCAAGACAGATACAGACCTTTATGAGTTTGTCAAGGTATGTAGAGCCGTGTCCAAATATAAAGCACAGCTGCTATAAAACAAGCTCTTCTGTACTTGGTACCAAGTACCATAAAATTCCACTGGCTCTAGCACAGCCGCCATAAGGCATTAAAGTATTAAATTGATGACCAGGGCAGGTATTCAATTCAATACTTAAGTACAAAATTGAACCTTTTTACTTAGTATTTGGCTTAGATAAAAAATACTTAGCCTATTTTGGTATTCAATTCAAACTTTTGGCTAAGTATTTTACCCTACATTTAAGATAGCTCCCTACCAGATTTAAGCCCATTATTTGGAGGCCTTGATTGGCAGGCATATAGTTCTTACGTAGTTTCATAACCTGTGCACAATTATATCAGCGCACATTTATTGCAACGGATTAATTGCGCATTACTTTTGATTGACTGTGTGATGTCACAATGCTTATCAGTTAGTATTGTACTAAGATTTTGTCTTAAGTAAGTATAAGCCTAACATGCGATTTGAATACGAGATAAGTCAAGTACTTAACTTAGCCATTTACTTAGTAAATTTCTTACTTATGCTAAGTATTGAATTGAATACCAGCCCAGGTACCCATATAGTTAACCTAGAAAGAGAGTGACAAATGAAGTTTAATATCTTGTCCAAGGACATTAGTACTATGGCAAGCTCAATCTATTGTTGTATAACAATGACCTGACATTTGCTTGTGCAGGGCTCAGGGCCCAGTAGTATTGACGGTCTTTAAAGCGTTGCTGTACAAGAATTTTGATTTCCATGTAAATTTCATTATTAAAGTCCTTACTCCTGAGATTAATGTTTGTCAGTTTACTAAATGTTTAACTTGTTTCTCATTTCTTCTACCATTTTTCTACCCCTTTAGTGCAAAACAGTGCCGACTAGCCTTAGCTTCTCTCCTGATGGGCAACTCATAGCAACAATAGCCAAAGATAGGAAGGTGAGCTCCCATTCAGCACTGTCCATCTGAACATAGATAGATTAATAATAATGATAATAATAACATGTCTTGTTTACCTAGGGTAGGCTATCAGTAATAATACTGTTCTCCCTGGGGCCCCTACAATCATATTATTACCCCCTGCTTTAGCCGAGCTGCCACAAAAAGGCGCTCAAGCATTCAAGGAATTTCCTCCTACCCGATACCCATTTACCTCACCTGGGTGCTGTGTGGCAATCGTAGATTAATGTCTTGCCAAAAGATAGTAGTGCTGTGGTGGAACTCATACCACGAACCATGAGGTCCACAGCCTGGTGAATATCCACTATACTACTAAGATTTTTAGATTAGTTATTATGATTTAGAAGCAAATATTTTGTGTAAAGTTTCATACTTATGATTTGTAATAGAGTTCAAAACCATACCGGTATTTTTTCTCAATTAAAGTTATACATAGAGCTTGTGATCACAGATTCATCTCAGTAAGACACTGGATTTGTAAGTATTCATTGACCATTATTGGGTTAATTTTTGCAATGATTGGTCAATGACAGTTCAAACACCAATGCATAAAACTTTTGTACATGCACAGAGTGCATCTCCTGCCATCATGGTAAGTATTTCTTTTATAGAATCTCTTTATCAGTTTAGGTTTCCTCATCTGTATTTATTTCCTTTGATAATGGATCATCTCTAACATATGCAGTTTCATAAAATGAAAGAATAAGCATCCATAAGAACATACAGTTCTTTTACTTTTATTTTGTAAGCATTTATGTTTATCCCTTATGAAGAAATGGTATTCAACGTACATGTAATAACTCCCTTTTTTGTTTCACTTTGATAAACAACACATCAAAAGAATTCATCTGCACTATAATCGATCTATTATACCCTTCAATGATTTTTATAGATTCGCATATTTCGCTTCCTGACGGGCAAGCTCACCAAGGTGATTGATGAGTCTCTGAAGACATTCACTGAGCTTCAACAGATGAAGCAACAGCTGCCTGACATGGAGTTTGGTAGACGTATGGCAGTAGAGAGAGATCTACAGAAGTCTGATGCCTTCTCTCTTGCAAACATCAGTGAGTCCAATTTGCTCTTTTACCCATCACAGAATTGACATGTCACAGTTATCTTTGATTGAGAATGAGAGCACTCAAATACTAATGTAAAGAAATCAAACATTCCAAAAAATGAAAGCTGAATTTGTAATGATGATGATGATGATGATGATGATGATGAATATATATGTAAAGGGCTTAATAGAGACATTGTATTGAGCGCTATATAAGCGGAATATTATTATTATGATAATGATGATGGGGATAATAATGATGGTGGTGATGATAATAATAATAATAATAATATTTAATTTTTATATAGCGCTTAATACAAATGTCTCTAAGCGCTTTACAAATATATACTATTACCCCGGTCATTGGATTCAGTGCTTGCCCGCACACACTGTGTGCACAATCTCCACTCCCTGGGGAGCATTCCAGCCGGGCGTTACTTTACGCTCACAAGCTGTTTGACCAACAATGACGGTCGCATCCTACCGGGTACCCATTTAACACCTGGGTAGAGAGTAGCAAGTGCAGGTTAATATCTTGCCAAAGGATATTAGTGCCGTGTCGGGATTCGAACCCTCGACCTTCGCATCTCCAGTCAAGCGCCTTAAACCACTCGACCACGACACTCCCCCATGATGCTCATGTTGTTGGTATGATGGTAATGATGGGGATGATAACAACTACAATGGTGGTGGTGGTGATGATGATAATGATGAGGACATTGATGACAACGACAAGTAACGCCTGGCTGGAATGCTCCCCAGGGAGTGGAGATTGTGCACACAGTGTGTGCAGGAAAGCACTGAATCCAATGACCGGGGTAATAGTATATTTGTAAAGCACTTAGAGACATTGTTTTAAGCACTATATACAAATTAAATATTATTATTATTATTATTATTATTATTATTAATGATAGTTAGAATGACATGGCTATAATAACAATACATGAATTGTCGTTTCCTTTTCTTACAGTCTTTGATGAGAGTGGTTACTTTGTTTCATATGCCACCATGCTGGGTATCAAGATTCTCAACTTACATACCAACAGAATATCACGCATCATTGGAAAGGTAAGCATAAACCGAAGCTCACTAGGCAATTGGTATTCCCAAGTAAAGTAAGCTACATGTATCATTCCTCACTGTCTAGTTAGTCATACGGTATGTTTTCAGTAGTGGTCAAGTTGGAGTTGCACAGAGATTGTCAAGAGCGGGTAAACAGGCTTGTGTCTTCATTTAGTCCTTTTGCACTTGTAAATACCTGTGGATATCATCTCCAAATTTCCTTTAAAAGGCATCGTTTAAGCATGACCCTACGTGTCATCAGTGTCTGTGATATGGTGTAATATTGAAACCCTAAAAAAAATTGCGCTTCAAAATGATCAAGTGCCTCAAAAAAGTAAAAATCTTGAGCGACCATTTTACCATACTCATTTCCCCCAATAAACTGTAGTGTTATGAAAACCGTTAGGAAAACGGAAAATGAAATTTCAATATCCAATCATAAATATCTTGATAATCAGACAGGCGATCGGCTTGTAAAAGTCATGGGGTTCCTGACTCACCTGAAGGTTTATAATTATCATTGCAGCATGAGCTAAATCCAGGATTTTGTTTCAGAATCTGAGGCAATGTTACAGAGTCACTTTAAGGGGAATGTCTCTTTTACCCTTTTCACATCTATTTTTCTTAACCCCGGACTATCCTTAACCCCATACTATCCTTAACCCCATACTATTTTTTTTGCTGTTCACATCTATTTTCTTAACCCCGGACTATGTGCTTAGCCGGGGTTAAGAAATTTCACGCGATTCACACTACGTTCGCCTTAGCCCCGGACTATTCGATAGCTCATGAATATTAATGCTTTTGCTACCGCGCAAAGCGTTTTCCCTTTATTATTTTACCGATACAAATCAATTACCCATTTTTCATCCAATTCACTTGATAAATTTACCTACGTAAATATGACTGATAATGATAAATGCAATAAAAAATTATGAGCTACATGTTCTTTCACTATTTTTTTAAATCAATTTTATAATAAAGATTTTTTCATAATGACCTCTGCCTCGTAAAAGACTAAACGTCAATACAGAGAGCATGCATGCGTAACGTGAACTGCATGCATGCGTAACGTGAACTGCATGCAAAGCGCGCGATAAATGCAAATTCACGACCACACGACCACGCTGTCTGTGATTGGCTGTTGCTTAGCCCCGCTTCTCCTTAGCCCGGTTCGGATTCACACTACGCAGCTTAGCACCACAATTGCCCGGCTAACCCCGCAATTGCCCGGCTAACCCTGCTATTTTGCAGGGCCAGATAGTCCCGTACTATTTGTGGGGTTAGCCCACTTTGGCAAAACGTAATGTGAACAGAAAGCCGGCTAAAATTACCCCGGGTAATTGGTGGGGCTAAGGAAGGAATTGGTGGGGCTAAGAGCCCCCTTAGCCCCACCTATTTCCCGGGGTTAAGCAATATTTGGTAGATGTGAAAAGGGTATTTGTGTACAATTTTTAGTGATCTTGCAGTCCTTGATATATTTCAATGGCTGTGTTTTATGCCTTGGTTTAGTTTCGCTCCATGCTTATCTTCTGATTTTGCAGCACATGTATTGTTTACTTCTTTGAAAATGATTAATTGACATTAGATTACTTGTGTACAATCAGCTGATGTGTAATAATGTCTACAATTGTTAAAGTGATATCTTCCAGTCTGGCTTTTGGTTGTGGTGGATTTAATATTTGAATGTTTTTGTATATTGCCATTCAACTTTTTATGTTTACATAATATGAATGATTTAATCGCAGAATGTGAAGCAACAGGATATGAAATGCTGAAATGCATGGCTCAAGACCGAGATACTTGGAGAGGCACTTGATGTACTGTAGAATTCTGTTTGGGTCACTGAACCTATCATACTGACAGATCACTGTTTATGATGAATACGAATATCTGATTGAAATTAAATGAATGTAATTTTGAATGTTTATTCGTACACATTTTATTCATATTATTCATGATATTGTATATATTTTTGTGTTCCTTTGCCCCCAGCAAGAGAATGTGAGGTTCCTGCACCTCAGCATGTACCAAGGCAAACCCAAGAAATCCAAGGGAGCTCTGACCATGGAGATGACCGCCTCTGATAACCCCGGCCTGCAGGGGAGCGAAGCTGACCCCACCCTAGTGTGCAGTGCCTTCAAGAAGAACCGCTTCTACCTCTTCACAAGAAGGGAACCAGATGATGCAAAGAGGTGAGATCTATGCGCAAAGCTGGGCAACTACCCTTTGGGCTATTATCCAGTGCATGTACATGATAATGTAGAAGGTGCCATGGTCTATGTTGATTCAAATCATTCATATTTTCTATTATCAAGGAGACTTCATGTTCTTGATGTGGAATTTATAAAAAGTCAAAAATACAATTTTCGTTTTTGAATATATTTCATTTTAAGGCCTCAAATAGCTCTCCATAGTTTTTAAGTCCGACTTAGAGTTAAGTTCGAATTAGGATCTTTGTGAAACACCCCATAGAAGTTGGATCAAATAGTCCATGGGTCATGGAAAAGCTGCATTATTGATGTCCTTTGGATAGACATCAATCCACATTATTTACTCCTCTCTACCCAGATGTAGAAATGGATACCTGCCAGAAAGTAATTCCTTGAATTCTTACATGCCTTAAGGCAGCTCAGCTCAAGCGAGAGGAGTAATAATGGATAACTTACACCAGGGGCCCATTTCACAAAACTTGTCATCAGTGACAAATGACTGTCTTTGTTATAAGCTACTGAAATCCTTGCTTCTGATTGGTTATCAGCAGATTTGTCACTGATTTTTGTCATTTGTCATTGAAAAAAGGCTTTGTGGAACGGGTTCCTGGTGTACTACAATGTACCTTGGTTTAATAAGTATCATATTATATTTGCCATGGAAAGTGTTGTAATCTAGCCCATGCTCTGGTGATAATTTGATCCAAGCATTGTTTAGTGAAAGATATATTATTAGGGATGTGATTGGGTTTTAGGATTAATGGGGTTAGGGGTAATGTGAGTCCCAGAGTTGAAGTGAGAATTTGAGGAGCAATTCTTGCTTGAGCTGGAGCATGTGTCATAGAATGCAAAAGGTGGACACAATCTACATGTATATCATTACAAATGTTTGCAGACACAGACCATGAATTATCTTTTTATACTTGCATTATGTATAGTAACGAAGCTGAAAGAGATGTCTTTAACGAGAAACCGAGCAAAGAAGAGCAGATGTCTTTCACACAGGTATGCATCATTTTTATTTTCTTTGAAAAAAAATATGTTAATTTGGGTTTGGAAAAACCAAAGAAGTCTGTATGCTTTCCCACTCTCAATGTTTGCAAATTTAGAGTAAGTGTATTGATTTATCATATTGTGAAATCTGAAACTTCTTCGCTACGATCAGTGCAAGCCCTTTCTGACACTGACAAAAAAAGAGTATATTATGTAGAATATAACGCAACTATTAGGAAGGAAATTCCATTTCTTGTTATTGTGATGTGACAAAATTTTACGAAAATTATCTCTGCTCTAAAAGCTTAGAAGAGCATTATCCCATATAATAACATAAAGATAATGTAATGCCCTTTTTGCTCTGAACTGATGATTGAGTCTTTGATATTGGTATGTCAGTCGTTACTTTTCATAAATCATGATATTTCGACACTTTGGTAACTACTGTACATGTATGCATCATTCAAATCTGTAATCTATGTTTGCCTTCCATATCCACAATGGTACCAACATTTTCTTTTCCCCTTTTATTCATTCCCCACACGCACCTAATACAGGGAGGAGCTGCACCTAGGTTATCCAGTACAGCTATCCTTCATACTACTATGGGGGATGTCCATGTGAAACTCTTCACAGAAGAGTGAGTGTTGTACTTGAATTTATATATCTCGTTTACATGTTTTGGAGGGAACATTTTAAATTAACGTATATTTCCATTTATTTAAGCCAAATATTCTCACGCTTAGCCTCCAATACGTTATTTCCGGGTGCCAGTGCCCATTTCTGGATCTGCCAGTGCATGTATTTATGCTGCACTGTTTCTGCTTTTTGTGTACAATGTATACGTCTTGCATTTTTCTTTTTCAAGCTTGTTTTTGTTGTTCTTGTTCCTTGTCATTAAAAAATAAACTTTCCATTATTTATCCATGAGGGAAAAGATATCAACGTATACATGTATTTTGGATTTACAGTGCATTAATCTATCTTGGATTAAAAGTTCACTAATCCAGGTGTTATCATTTACTCTTTCAATTTGTTTAGAGAGATAAGGGGGGGGGGGGGGGGGGGCTCCTAGCCAACTTTAGTTTCTTGTAGTTTTTGTTGAGAACTTGTTTTCAACTTAAGAGAGCCCTGTCACAGCTTTCTAGATGGACATCACCCTTTTCTTGAATATTACAATTCATCAAATATTTCCAAATTCATGAGTACCTAGATTTGAGGAACAAATACCAGAAGCAACTTACAAATTTCATCTCAAAATATAACTTTGTATCCCAGATGTCCAAAGACGATAGAGAACTTCTGCGTGCACAGTCGGAACGGCTACTACAACGGTCACATCTTCCACAGAGTCATTAAGCAGTTCATGATCCAGACCGGAGATCCTCAAGGTGAGACTGAGAGGAAGACCATCATGGGCTAGTAATCCCACCCACCAGGGGGCAAGGGAATTTCAAAAAAGGAAGTGGCGGGGGGGGGGGGGGGGGGGGTTACATCATGTACACTGTATCCCCACATATTTTTTTTTAAAGGGGGTGGGGGTTAGAGTGGTGCCCAAATATCAATGCCCCACAAATCTATTATTTTGATTATTTTGCATATGAACGCCTCCCATACTTTCAGCAGCAAACCCCACCCCATTAATATGAGTGCATACCTGCCAACTCTTTCTGGATTTCTACGACCTGAAAATCCGGAATATTCTGATTTTCCAAAATTTCAATTTTTTTTGTTTTTGTTGCTAAAGTCAAATTAAGCTTGTTTTATCATGTGCCACGATTTGAGAGTTCACGTATTGTGTACGTTGAATTGCTGCATGATCGATCATTGAATTTGTATTCGTTTTTTGGTACAGATTTACCACGTATTACCAGTAATACAGTGCCGCTGCAAGTGCGATTTCTTATTTTCCAAGGCATACCATGCTAAAAATTCCTAATTCTTATTTTCAAATGTTGGCAGGTATGTGAGTATTGATCAATATGTTTGAACTATGAAAAGTGTAATACTTCCTGAAACAGATACCAACATGGTAAAGCTTGCATCTAATGAAGAAATTATATGCCCTGCAATACCCACATGTGCACAGGTGCAATCAAATCTAATTTTGATCTTAGGAAGTTATTGAGGTATGGTCTTTACAAGAATCTTCTGTTTGATTTTTGTTTAAATTCCCATTCTTCAAACTTTCTTTTTACAGAAATTTGGGTAATATTATTACAGCATTTAAAAACTTTTGTTTGTAGCACTGTTAGTAGTATTTTATACATTTGAGGTGTCCGTGTAGTGCAGTAGTCTATGATATTTGAGTTATTATTATTTGTAATGTTGATGATTTATACTATTGTATGCATTCAGGTGATGGAACTGGAGGAGAATCCATTTGGGGAGGGGAATTCGAAGATGAGTTTCATCCCAAATTGAGACACGATCGTCCCTACACGCTCAGCATGGCAAATGCAGGACCCAACACCAACGGTTCTCAGTTTTTCATCACTGTAGTCCCATGTGTAAGTAATATTATTTCTGTGTTTTCCCTTCACTGTTGTAGTTATTACACCAAACAACATTGCCTAAAGATTGTGTGCATTACAACAAATTAAAAGAAGAGTAAATGCTCCCTTGTTAAAGCAGTGCTTTAATACCATTTGATTTGCATATTTGCTATTGCAAATTTACAAGATCAATGGGGGGAAAATGCTGTTTTTTATGCTCCTGTGCTACTGTACATCTCTTCAATATAGCCTATAGAGTTGGCTCCGCCGTAAATGTTAAAGGTAATACGAAGTTTTGGTAAGGGGTCATGAATTTGGTTCAAATGAACATATTGGAAGCATATGCGATCCTACAATATTCGGGACCGTTGTCGCTGTTGAAATCGAGTCTAAAGTGACGAAATTGAAAATAATAAGGTCTTTATGTTGTATAGCTCCCTCTCAAGGTCAAGATATTAATTTAGCTTTTAAACAATGTTTCTTGACTAAAATCGACCGATTTTCTATTCCTGCTTGGAGATTATATATATCACAACTGCATATTCTGAGATTTTAATGGTCCCAGCTACCATTGAATGGCCGTATAAGCTATTCTAAATTTATCAAAATTTGCTGGGAGCACTGGTAAATTTTTATATTCAATTTTTCTTGAAAGCAGAAGTGTTTTAGGGGCTAGTTTTTCTAGTGCTTATAATACATCCTCGGGGGCATCCAAATATATCAACATTTTAAAGAATCGCTATAAAGGTTAAGGTGTCAAAGTCTTATATTGATGAATGCAGCAACATTCAAATGTTTAGGCATTGGAGAAAAAGAGCTAACAGATATACAGTACTTCAATGATTTCTCTCTCAGTTTGAATTTGTATGAATTTCTCTCCAGTAATACAAGTATTGCGCCATTATATTCTGCACTGTGTTAATGCAGCAAGCTTCTGTAGGGCCTGGGGGATGTTTCACAAAGATCCTAAGTCGAACTTAACTCTAATAAATGAATTAAATTCAAAAGCAAAAGTTCAAATATTTTAGACTTTTTATAAATTCCACATCAAGAACATGAAATCTCCTTGATAATAACAAATAGGAATGATTTGAATCAATATTTTACGCTTTTTAAAATAACTTTTACAAAATATTTTCAAATATTCTAATGGCTTCCCATAAAAAGTCCAACTTAGGATCTTTGTGAAACACCCCCCATATTTGCAAACTGCATTCACAATACTTCTTTATACGCTTTTATTCCCCCTTCTTGCTTTCATTCTAGCCCTGGTTGGACCAGAAGCACACCGTGTTTGGGCGTGTCATCAAGGGCATGGAGTGCATCCAGAAGATCAGTGAGGCCAAGGTTCACAAGACGGACAAGCCGCTGGATGACATACGCATCGTCAGCGTGTCTGTCAAGTGATACCGTCATGTTCGGACAAGCCCCTGGATGACATACGCATCGTCAGTGTATCTGTCAAGTGACACCGTCATGTTCGGATAATTCTCATATTGAGTGATTGAGCAAAGTTCATCCTAATATCAACAAGCCGCTGGATGACATATCATGATATGCATCTGTCAGATGATGCAACAACATTTGGATAATTATCGTATTGTGTGATTAAGCAAAAAGAAATGTGTATTGCCATTTGGTATCAAAACTTGGTTCAGACAAGTTGCTGTTAGACGGTGTTTGGGTCACATGGAATTGGACCAAACGGCAATTTATAAACAGGACATAACAAACGGGAATCCGGAACGTGTAGGAAAGGACAACTGGCACCGAAGGAATTTTTGGGTCATTATCTAGATGATAAAGATCAGGGGCATATCCTATGGAGTTGCCATTGATCCAAATTATTACCTCTTTTCTAAATAAAAAAGGGAGTTTTATCATGACAGCAGCATGACTTTGGAACAAAAATAATTGTACTTTTCGTATTATTGTACTTATCTCCTCCTAGAAGGACTAAGGAAAGTGGATAGAAAATAGAAGTGAAAATAGAAAGGCGAGAAAGTGGAGGTTGGAAGGAAGAGTATCTTTCGGAAGTGAGTATAGTCCTGAAAAGGACTGTAAACCAGAAAGTTGTAGATAGAATGAGAGGTTTGAGTAGAAGACTGGATTGAGTTGGAGAGTTGAGTAGAGTTGCAGAGCAGCAGCAGGAGAGTAGACTCGACGTTTCGACGTTTCTGGTTTACAGTCCTTTTCAGGACTATACTCACTTCCGAAAGATACTCTTCCTTCCAACCTCCACTTTCTCGCCTTTCTATTTTCACTTCTATTTTCTATCCACTTTCCTTAGTCCTTCTAGGACTTTACACATGGTGTACCGTAAACCTCTACCGCGATTATTCATACCACAATGCAAACCTTCAAACATCATCTTATCTCCTCCTCTTCTCTTTTTCTTGTGAATTTTCTTTTAATTTGTTTTCCTCACACTTCCTTTACTCCATCTCCATCTCCCACACCGTCTTCCTTACTGTTCCTCTCCTAAGGTTCATTCAAACATGAAGCGTTGTAATTTTACGCTGCTTCACATTTCTGTACTTTATAACACAGTGCTTTAGTGAATACACACAAGTCCTTTCATTTACACATTTAAAGGCCCACTGCACTACTTGTAGCTACTTGCGCCCTCTATATAACATACAATGCCTAATCGGTGACCTTTGGTCCCCCATGATCCTCTTTTTCTTATGTTAACTGAGAGCTGAGTTGATGAGATAGCCACCTGTCCATTGACCTTGCAGGGCGCTCTAATCCCTCCTGTAAACTATGGCAGATAAGCTTTAAAAAAAAAACTGGTGGCTATTTTTGCGGTGGTTTACTGGCTACTGAACGAGCCTTTACACTCACACTCTCCCTTTCATTTCATTTTCATTTTATCTAACTCTTCCTCTCTCTTTTTCTCATATTTTCCCCTTCTATGAAACTCTTCTCTGTATATTCCTATTTTCATTTCTTTTACCACTATCTCTTTCCCTCCCTTTGATGACAGTGTTTTTTTTTATTAACTTTGTTGTATTTTTTTGTATCTACTTTAAAACCTCAAGTACCGTAATGTATGTGTTCGTGATTGTGCACAATCTGTTAAACAGATAAAACAAAGAAGTATTTGTTCATATTTTGAGTGACGCATTCAAACTTTATTTCAAACATCTGTACAATTTGACAATTTAATACCTAAATAATAGACAGGTTACGATAAAAAGGTGTAATATTTACATCTTATTTACAAATAAACAATTTACACGTATAAAATTCTCAAAATGAATTTGTCATTCATGATCGTATACTTTAATTATGTAATTCATTGAATATAATTTAAGAACAGACTGGCCTGTATTTCAGGTGTGTGATTTAAAAAAAAATGATATGGATATTTACAAATGATTTAAATCATGAAATGTAAGTCATTTGAACATACAATGAAACATAACATTTCAAAGGAAAGAGGATACAATATTCTCTTTCCGCCATTTTTTAAAAGTAAGCCTCCCTCAAAATAGTGATAAAATAAATAAACAAATTGAAATGCTTCAAATAAATGAATCTATGTCGTAAAAAAAGACCTGTTTTGATTTCTTAGTGATAAAATGTACAGAATTTGAGTTTGCCATGTACATGTATTTAATGTATATAAATAAATCTTTTGTACAACATTAATTTCCTTTCACTATTGTGTTTTGTACATACCTTAGATTATGCTCTCAAACTAGTAGTGTAAAGGCACACTTCCTTTATATTATATAACCCCCCCCCCCCCCCACGTCCATACTGCCTCCTGGGATGTAATAAGATTATCTGAGACCCTTTGAAAAAAATAGTGTTCACATTCGTATTAGACTACAAACTAGCAAGAAAAAAAAGGTCGGTTATCATAAAATGTTTTGTATTATGCAAAAGTGCAAAGCCATATTTTACAGAAAATGTTTTCAATAGGCCAAGCTCTTGTGTTAAATAGATCTGGTACATGTATTTTGAAGGAGAGGCAGACTGGGAAATCATTTAGAACGTCAGAACGATCACTACAATCACTCAACCACCAGCTATGATGCAGTTTGCATGGAGCGTGGAAAGTAGGCGCTCATCAGAGGGGGTTGTCCCTGGCCACCCCCAGCCCCAGCCCCAGCCCCAGCCCCGGCCTGCTCCCCGGGCTTGCCCTGCACCATCCCTCCTCCTCCTCCTCCCTTGGATCCTCCTGGGATGGAAGGGACACGCCCTCTGACGGCAGGGGGGTGTGTCTGGGAGAGGGGCCTGTGTTGGACCGTAGAATGAAAGGGGTAGCTCGGTGGAGGTGCCATTCTCATCGGGCCAGCTTGTTCCTGTCTCTGCAGGTATTTGGGATCCAGTGCAGGGCTGTAAATGAAACCAAATGTGAAAGACTTTAATGTTGGTAGGTCTTACTCTGCACAAAATATTTCTAAACTGCAATGAATAAACCACCGGATTAGTACTTGGACTGCATTTCCGACTCATTACATAATATCAACAAAACCGAATTAAGGAACCTAGGCTTGCCCATACATTAGCCCATGTCCAATGAAGAGTTCAAATTAATCCAAATGGAACTTTTCCCAATTCAAGGAAAAATTCTGGGGCTTCTGCATCTTGCAATTGATTGAGGAACTTGCAAACTGTTCATGCGACAAGTCCTGGACTTGTCATTCACTCATTCAACATAATCTGTACATGCTCATCAGTGTCTTAGTCAAGTGGTTAACACTTTAATGGAGTTTGAAAGGTTGTGGGTTCAAGCCCAGACTTGGCACTAGTGTGTTTTGGGAATACAGTACATTGTAGCTATATTTCCCCCTCTCTATTCAGGTGTTAAATGAGCACTAGTAGGAAGGAATTTAGAATTAAATATACTTGTACATGCTTATTTGTTTACTATGTAAAGCGCATAGAGAAACTTTCATTTATTATGCACTTAATAATTCAATCTTACCATTATTATTCCCTCAATGCTGTGATCACCTAAATTGGGTAGCCTAGCTAGAGTCAGGCTAGTGCTTGAGCAACCTTGAGCACCTTGCATGATGGAAAGATTGCCCTCCCAAAAATAAATGTCCAATATAATAATAATAATAATTATTATTATGTAGTAAAAGCCATTTCTTACCTAGCATGAGAGGCATGTTGGATGGCACTTAGACCAGAGTGGGGTGTGTTGAGAGGTACACTGGGGTTGGTAGAAGGGGTGGAGGTGAAGGCGTGGCGGGGTGGAGCACCGGTGCTGCTGGTGGTAGGGGGCACTCCTATGTTTGCTCCTGTTGGCTGATAGACTACCTACAAAACAAAAAAAATTGATATTTGGTTGCATTGCAAGCAAGGAGTTTTGTGGCTCTCACTTAATTTCATGTATATATAACGCCAGATATTCAAAACACATCCTTCAAATGTAACGGAATGATAATGATATGAATTTTTCCAATGCAATGAAGAACTATTTCTATGAAAAATAGTAAGGAACCACAATAAAGGCTATAATTTCTAAATCCCAGATTAAATGGATGATAACACCAAAAGACCAATTATTTGGATTGTATATATCAATGACCAGAACCAGAGGTTTCGGTTTTAACCCAAAGGTGATAAAAGGTTTTAGTTCTGGTAGTCAACATACTGAAATTCAAAATTTTGTTGTTGTAGCGTAAAGGCCGCACCCCGACTTTTTGATATTTTTTCTTCCAAAAACACTGCGGCCTTATCGCCGGCAAATACGGTACACAAATTGAAAATTGCTGGAAAATTACTTTCCTCAAAATATTTCTGATTCTTACACTTCTACAACAATCACACTGTACCATGTCAAGTATAAACAAGCGAACTTCCTTGTTAAAATTAAGAGATTTTCCTGTTTAGAACTTACCCCTGCTGGTTTATAAGAGGCGACTGGTTGGGGTCGAGATGGGGGCTCAAACGTGCCATGGCGCTGGGACAGGTGGACCTCATTCACCTGCTTGTTCAACCAGTTGATTACTGAAACACACAAGATGAAAGTATTTTAATGAATAGACTCCCATCGAACATATTTAAGAAAGAGGTCAAATGGCTTACCTTTAAGTGAAAAGTAGAGTGGACAGTGTGCACTGTCATCTACCTGTAACTGGGAAAGGCAAAATGTAGAGGTGGCCAAAAATTGGCAACTCTGTGATATATTTTAGGAGCTCCCCTAAATCTTAATTAAACATGCATCCTAAATGTCATTATTGCAAATAAGTTTCTATTCAACCCCTGTATGTCAAAAAATCTATCCTGTTATCAATTACAGAAAAAAACGAAAGTTTATGAAATGTTTTGTACAGAGCGAATAGGAAAGGAGCTCACAAGATACCTCGCAGTGTTGCCAATTTGATTGATCGTAACTTCCAAAATTAATAACTTTTTTCTAAATCTAAATTTGCTAAAAAATTTACAGACCTGCTTCTCTCATTTGTATGCTTAACTATTAAAACCAACTCAATATCAGTGTGGACTTCCACTTTAAATCTGAATAGCACATACACGTAGCAGCATTCTTCATACCATTTTCATTTGTCTTCAACAACTGTTTGCTCTCCTCCAGCTTGGTAGTGGTCCTCTCTAGAGTTTCTTTCAATCTTTCATTCTGTAATTATAAAGATAAAATGCCCAAAATGACTTCACACTTCCTTAATAACAGACTAAATGAAATAAAATTAAATACTTGCGTAGGTAGATGTAGTATTGTGTAAATCGTGTAAACAGTCATGGTTTTAAAAGGGGGGCAATTATTTATTTTTAAAGGTGTCTTATTTGAAGAATCTTTATATCAATCACCTTCATAGTGCAAAAAAGGGCCATATATTGAATGTACATCTGACATGAGTAAGAATTAATTGTTACTTTGTATGAACAATTTATACATTCTTTTCAAACAATCACTAATTATGAAAACCTTAAAGAAGAATACAAACGCGAACCCAATTTCTCCTTTTCTGTTTTCCATGATATCTGTTGAGTGCAAGAAGGTAGTCAATTATTGCTAGCACTGTACAAAGAGTTAATGCCTCTCTGACTCTCAGAAGAGGACCCAATTCCTTGATAATTGTTACCTCAGCATCCACAGAGTCACATTTCCTCTTCAGGTTATCTCTGTCTTCCTGCATGGAGTGCAGTGTGTGACTCTTCTCTTCAATCAGCTTCTCTTGCTTGCTTGTAACTGTGTTCTTCAGCTTCATCTGCAAATATCAAAGGTTTACAAAAATGGAGATAAATGTCAACTTTTTGAAAATTCTGTATACTTTGACAATAATTTGGTACTTTGACACGATAATTTGGTACTATGACATGATAATACTATGATACGATAATTGGAACATTTCTGTCAAAACAATGTTTTAGTTTCAATTTCAGTATTATTTTTCAGTTCCAACAGAACAGTAATTTTGACAAGAAATCAGATACCTAAACAACTCAACATTCAATAATATACATTTTTACATGGTTTAAAGTTATGAAATTGTTTTTTTAATAAGTTTTGTTAAGATAAACCTGTGGAAATGGAGGGATCCACTGAAAAGCAGAGCTTGTAAAATGTGGATCCCTCAAAATAATGACAAACATAATTTTTGTAACATGTAAGTATAGTGACTTGAAAAAAATATTTGTCCCTGTGTAATCACCAACATTTCTCAACTTTCTCTTGAGAGAAAACAAAAAATTCTATTTTTTATCAAAACGTGATCAATGAAACATCCTACCTTTGCTACTGCTGCTTTCAATTCTCCTTGCAGTTTCCGTATGATCTCATTTCCCTGTGGTTTTACAAAGAAAAAGGGGGTAATCAACCATTTACAACACTGCAAAGTAACAACAAAAAACTGCTGACGATTTCAAAGAAATATCAGTAATATTCAAGTCTCCTGGTATGTTGTTAAAATGCACAAGTTACAACTGACTTGAAAAGAAAGAAAACCACAACAAAATTAACCAGCAATATTTATTTTAAATATTTGATAAGTTTTTATTGATCCAATAATATTTTTACATCCAACATGGACATACATCGTATTACAAATATACAGACATTTATACCCATGTAACAACAATAAATCAAAGAAGAAATCAAATGGATCTAAAGTATATAGAATACACTGTAGAAAACATCAGTGATTGTCAAAATACCCCCCCCCCCCAAAGAAAAAAAAAAGGATTTCAGTCAATGTTCTCTCATCTGCTAAACTGCTTAAATAGGATTATATCCTATAAACCAGCAATATACATATACAAGTATGACAATTATATCCAGTAATACAGCTAAAGGTATGTTTTGCAAATGCATATCATCATTTCAAGCTTGTTTCTTGCCGTAAGAAATACAAACTAAATTGCAGTAAATTGAATAAATACCTTTAGAACCTCTTTAGACGTTGATTTGACAGTGCTTTCTAGTTTGACAAGGAGTGCTTGCTTCTGGTGAACATTCTCTTCTAGTTGAGCCTGGGAAGAAAAAAAAAACATGATGTAGTTTAACTCTTGGTATTGGTTTATACTCGATAGGATGCAACAAAAGACTATGCCAAGTCTTACTGTTTCCTTGTGATGCACGTAACAAACTCTTTAATCACTAATTATAACAATTGATGTCAAAAATATCCTTGTGCAAAAGATGTTACCTGTGGATGTAATATGTAGCAAAACGAATACAGGTGCCCAAAACTTCATACAGCCCCTCAGCAACCTTGCCAATTGTATGTCCCTGGACTTCTTCTTGGGCCATGTTGAAGCGCTTCAGATGAAAACTGTACATGATTAAATACTTTGAAGTCCATTGGTGGCTTTAAGGGTGGGCAGTGGTCAGTCAAGCCTGATTTCACATGGTCGTCTTTGAATGCCACCTAGGCAGTCCATTGACCTTGGAAATGCCGATTTTGCTACATGGAATAAATGTTCCAAACTTCAACACTTTAATCCATGTGCCAACAAATAGTCAATATGTATGTTAAACAGCGGAAGATCTGTCTGATTTTTTTCCTAACCATTAAGGTGATAGATCCAATAATTTTGGTTAAATTCCACATTACCTTGCTTTCATTGGCAGCCTCTAGTAGTTGAGCAGACTTGTCAGCGAGAGCCTGCTTGTCTCCAACTTCTTGTTCCAGGACGGCTAGCCGTGTGCTGAGCTGACCAACGGTCTGTCCTCGGTCAGTGTGCTCGGTCTCTAGACGGTCAGTGTGACGTCTCGTGGACTGGAGCTCCCGCTGAGCTCGCTGGTAGTCCTGAGTGGGAGATTATAATAATAATAAAGATTGCTTTATTAAGCGCATAATAAACGGAAGTTTCTCTATGCGCTTTACAAGGTAAAAAATAAGATTGAGAAAAAAGATTGAGGAATGATGAAAGAGCACTATTAAATTTCCTCATGATGCATTATTATGGTTTATACAACACAGAAGGAACCCAGGCATTTGTTGGTCAATGCGCATCACCTGAACTAGTACTTTACTATTCAGTGTGTGCAACTTTCCTCCATTCCCTAGCATGTCAAATCATACTTGGACCATCTATACCCATCTTCGCTATGAAGTGAGAGATTGTATTTTAACCCAGCTAAGTCAAATAAATTGTTCATATGTGATTGGTGACTTCATCAACACTGTGAATGAAGGCCATAAAATATGGAAATGTTATCTAAATTGGAATAGAATTATGTTTTCCCCATTAAGAGGATCGTTGAGGGAACACATAAGGCAGATTTTTCTAACACTTTCAATTAGTGAGATGGAAAATGTTTTATTTGTCTACTGCACTACACCTACATGAACAGTATATAATGCCTTTGTCTACCTCTTCTAACATGTGCAGCTTGCTTCTGAGTTCTTTGATGGTCGACTCTTGGGCCTGCCTTCTTTCATGCATCTCCTGAAAAAAAAGATAATCAAACGTAATTACAATATCATCAGAGATCCTGAATCTTTCAAAATTATATCTTAGGGAATCTATGGTATCTGCATGTCTGCCCCCCCCCCCCCTCCATTCAATGATCTTTCTCTCCCCCTTTCTTTTTTTTTCTTCTCCTTTTATCAAAAACAACTTCACATCAAGCTGGAATTCTGGGGTAACTCTTCCCTGTAATATTGCCTGTAATTCTGCTCTGCAAGACTGCACCTTGTCATACTCTATCATTTCTTTTGAAATACTTAGTGAATGCTCATTAAAGGGATAGTTGAGTTCTGTTTTCAGACCACGAATGCCTTCGAAGTGCATGGTTATTGCTCTTATTCTCATCTATGACATTTCTAGTGTCCTTTCAGAACCTAAAATTGATATGAAGGTAAATTTAGACACCAAAATGTGTTTTTTTTCAACAGCTTTTTCAAATTATCTAATATTTGTGGTGGTACACAAGTACTAGAAATCATTATATTTATGGATATTTCAGCCGTCTCTGAACTGATTTTGATTTTGTCAATTTTTGCCAGTTTATGGACCTCATCACATCCCTTAACTTGAAGCAACATGTGTCCTTTCCTACACATCAAGGTGGTCACACACTTGACCTCATTCTTTCTCGTGACACTGAAAGTTTCGTCAGCAATTTCGGCTTCACCAGCTACCTTCCATCTGATCATGTAGCTGTTAAATGCTCCCTGCACATACGTAAGCCTGGATCTGTGAAAATCGCCATCAACATGCGGAAAATTCGTGATATTAACATTGAACATTTTCGCAATGACATTCTGCAATCTGAGTTGTGTGTCTCTCCATCAAATGACACGAACACCCTTATCCATCAATATGAGCGTGTCCTTTCTGCTCTTCTCGATAAGCATGCTCCGATGATCTCATGTATAGTTGGATGTCATCCTAACTCCCCTTGGTTCAATGACGAGCTCCGTACTGCAAAACAACAACTTCGGGCACTGGAAAGGAAGGCCTTTTCTCCAAGGGGCCTGGAAATCGACCGTCAAATTTTTAGAAGTGCCTCACATCAATACAAAAATAAACTATCATCTGCCAAAAAGCGGCACCACATAGATCAGCTGAAAGACTGCAGTAACCGTGAACTGTTCAGAAAAGTGGATCAACCCTACCCGCCCACGATCTGCACAGGTCCTTCCAAGTAATCATGACAGTGCAGTTCCTCTTACTGAGCGGTTCCTTCAATTCTTTGCTGAGAAAGTCAACAAGATAACTGAAGAACTGCAGTCATCATCATTACCTACTGTCACTGATCGACTTCCTGAACACCAGACAACTTTTTCATTTGACAAATTTAAGCATGTCACTGAAAAAGAAGTGTTGCAAGTTATCACTAACTCTACTTCAAAGACGTGTAATCTGGACCCAATCCCAACTCACCTGCTAAAGAAATGTCTTCACGAACTTACACCTGTCATAACTTTTGTTATTAATGAGTCATTTAATAGTGGTTGTTTTCCTGAAAAATTCAAACCTGCAAATATTGTACCAATTCTCAAAGGCTTGAAATGTGATTCTGATGTACTTAATAATTACCGCCCTATTGCAAACTTGAAGTTCTTTGCTAAGACATTAGAAAGAATGGCAGCTTTACAGCTGCAACGGTACTTAAAGGGGTGGATCGCCAGTTTCCATGTGCAGAAGGCCATAATTCGCTGACACCAGACTTGGTGGAAATACCATTAATGGGGGTACAAATTTGCACACAGCAAACCCATAGTCCAGTCAAGAATTACCCCCTAATCTCTCGGAGAGCTCGAGAGTCTTCGGGCAATTCAAAGCATTACATAAGGTCCAATGGTCATAAAACTAACCCTGGTGATTGACAACACCTGTTATTGGGTAAACACCCGAACGGTGTCGAATTCCCCATGAGAGCCGACTACTCAGTGACTTTAAATGATCATGAACTCCACGCAAAATTTCAATCTGGTATAGATCATTCCATAGTGTTGAAACTGCCTTACTGCGAATAACAAATGATGTATTGTTGACACTTGATAACGGTGAGGAAGTCATACTAGTCCTCTTAGATTTCTCGTCTGCGTTTGACACCATAAAGCATGATGTCTTGCTGCAACGATTGTCGCAAAAGTTTGGTATTCGCAGTGGGGCACTCGACTGGATTGAGTCTTATTTGACAAATCGTAATCACACTGTTGTTATAGGAAATGAACAATCGTCTAGTTATTGTATTTCTCAAGGGGTACCTCAAGGTTCAGTGTTAGGTCCCCTGTTGTTCACACTTTACACTGCTCCACTAGATTCACTAATTGACAGTCATAAGGTTCATAAAATGTTCTACACTGATGACACTCAATTGTATATTGCATTTAAACATTCAGATGTACAAGATGTTATTTCTCAAATGGTTGACTGTGTTCAAGCAATTGAATGGTCACAAATCAACGGTCTTAAGCTCAACAGCAACAAGACTGAATTCCTTCACATATCTTCACGTATTCGTTCTACAGATCATATATCATTCATTGACTTAGATGGCACACAGGTTAACTCTGTAAGGAAGTGTCGTAATTTGGGTGCGATATTTGATGATAATTTCACCATGGATAAATTTGTTTCACAGAAATGCAGATCAGCATCTTTTGCACTACACAAAATTGGGAAAATTCGCAATCTGATAGATAGACACACTACTGAACGCTTGATTCATGCTTTTGTGGCGTGTCATCTTGATTTTTGTAATAGCCTCCTTTCTGGGATTTCGGCTCGTCAAGTGCAGAAGATGCAGGTTGTGCAGAACTCAGCAGCTCGTCTTATTTATCGTATTAGGAAACATGAATCTGTGTCTCTTATTTTAAGAGACTTACACTGGCTACCCATTCACTCTCGCATTTTATTCAAAATATTGTTGTTAGCTTATGAATGTTTTTATGATTTTGCGCCTCCTTATTTGATAGAGCTTTTAACATTGTACACACCTTCTAGAAATCTTCGTTCTAATAAGAAAAAATTGTTTGTTATTCCACCAATGATGACCAGGTCATATGGTGAAGGCAGCTTCGCTCACACTGCCTCAACTTCATGGAACAATCTCCCGGAACATCTAAAAAACATTGACTCCATTGTTAAGTTTAAGATTGCTTTAAAGACGCACTTATTTAACATTTAATTCATCCATTTTGTCTGTTACCCAGTACGCTTGTCTTTGTATTCTGTTGTGTTTTTCTTTAGAGCGCTTAGGGACATGTTTTAATACTATGTGTTATGCGCTATACAAGAACGGTTAATTATTATTATTATTATTATTTCAAATTGGACACCCAGTTTTTTATTATCTCACAAAAAATATATTTGTGTAGTGCCTTCTGCAACAGAAGTCAACTATCCCTTTAAGCAATTGTAATCAGATCAGCTACACCTAAGATAAAACCAGTTGAAAATATTGGAAATTATTTTACTGCCTACATCATATAAAGTAAAGTGCATTACCCTATTAACTGCCTGTAGTTCTGCAATGCGAGACTGCATCTTGTCATTCTGTTTCCTATGCTTCTCCTCTAGTTCCTGACACTGTGCTGAACTTTGCTTTTCAATATCCCTTTGCATCTGGAATAAAGACCAAAGGAAGGAGGAATAAATATTAAATAAGGATATAAAATTGTGAAAACCAACATCACCCAGCTTATAAACATAAATTTTGTTTCATTTTGGAGTAAATTAAATGGCAGTGTGGGATTTGGGGGTAAATTGTTGAACTTGGGCAATGTGATTTGAAAATCAATCAATTAACCTTTTTTTTCCTTGTCTCACGTTTCTTACAGGAAAAATATTTGAGTCCTGTCATCTGAACAGTCAATAATAATCAAAAAAAGATCCACTTCTTTTTGTTTAATATTACATCCTTTGTTTCTTCATTTTGTTATCTTTTAATTTTTTGTTTGTTTGCTGTATTTTTATATTCAATTTGATGTCTATATATGATTAGTTTAATGTTGGTAACACGGGCTTGCTAAAAAGCAGGCTGTGAGTTTACTGTAATTGAATAAATTCAATTCAATCAATCAACACACAAAAATCATTTATGAGGATCCAGGTAAGACCCAATGAATGGTCTCGATCCTGAAGGATCCAGATTGAGACATAAGGCTCCAGGTAAGACCCAATGAAGGGTCTCTTGAAGGATCCAGATGGAGACATGAGGATCCAGGTAAGACCCAATGAAGGGTCTCTTGAAGGATCCAGATGGAGACATGAGGATCCAGGTAAGACCCAATGAAGGGTCTCCTGAAGGATCCAGATGGAGACATACCTCTAGAGCCTTCTGTCTCTCCTCAGCAAGCTCCTGCTGATGCTTGGCCTCCAGGCTGTCAGACTGACTGCTCCACTGGCCTCTCAACCGCTCCAACTCACTGCTCCTGGTTTGGAGTATCTAAACAAATAAAGAGGCAGAACCAAGATATCATTGGCTGCTTGTCTCAAAGTACCAAAGACCGGCGAAGTTTTAGCTCATTATTTCATTATCATAATGATAATCATTATGATCAGCAACTTTTACATGATTCATCATCGTCATCAGTGTAACCATTATCATAAGTATCGTCATCATTATCAGTATCGTCATCATCCTCATTATCATCATCGTCAAAATCAGCACCACCACTTTCCAGCATCATCATCATCATCATCATCATCATCATCATCATTGTCACCATCATCATTGTCATCATCATCATCGTCACCATCATCATCATCATCATCATCATCGTCACTATTATCAACTTTACTTTCATCAGCATCACCACAATGATCATTACCACCATGACTACCATAGGTCTACAGCTTCATCATCATTATGGATTTAATTGACTATTTACCTCTTGCGTTTGTTGCAGCTGATGTGTCAAGGAAGATTCTTTGCTACTCAGATGAGCTTTAAGCTGCTTGTGATCCTCCTGTTGAGATTTAAATAATAATCAAACAACATATTAACACTGCTCATTCTACTTCTGTACAGTGGAAGAATTCAGAAAAGATTTTTTAATCCATTGTGATCATAACTGGACTGATAGAGAAATATTCAGTGAAGACATATGTGGATAACAACCAGGAACATGGTACACCTGTAAGTGTTATTAAAGATCTAGGTCTACTCTTTGACGGACGTAATGGGAATTATTAACCGTATCAGACATCTGAGCAGGGCAATTTTTAAATGTTATTGCCCTCAAGGTTTGATGGATAAGTCAAAAAATTACAATAAGTTAGTCCGCTCAGAAAGTCAACGGATTTTGTGTGTAATTTGGAGGGCAATATAGGTTATACAGTAAACCAATGCGCAAATATTTTAGCCCGCTCAGAACAGTCAATGGGATTTGTGTATAATTTGGCGGGCAATATAGGTTATACAGTAAGTCAATGGACAAATATTTTAGTCCGCGCTGAAAAGTCAATGGCAAAAGGCGTGTTAAACTAGTGAGCAATAATATAGTGCCAGTTGTAATTTAAATCGCGCATCAGCTACTGTAATTTACATCGTGCATCGCGTATAAGAAAATGCGCACTTTGCGCGAACTCCATTGTGACGTAACAATCACACCCTAGGCAAACTGTTTGCAGTGTATCGAAAATCTGTCAAACACCGGATGAACAGTGCTGGTTTGACAATGTTTTTGCAACTTCTAATGCTAGGAAACCCTGTGTAGCCTACATAATTTAAGAGTATAAGATAGTCAGAGTTTCTTGTTTGCTCTAGATGTCTGATGTGGTTAATAATAGTAATATTGACTGCCTAATTCAGGGCAATACGACTTGTCATATATCACCCTCACCTACGGTTCGGGCGATATATGTCGTATTGCCCAGAAGGCAGTCAATATTACTTCATGATTTCCCCTCTTTAGATGTAGCAAGTTGAGGCAATTGGACTGATATCACTTAATTTTAGAGACAAAAACAAGTTGATTGATAATTTGTTTGCCCATCATAGTACATTTTGGTGCTCTGAGCAAGAAAGAGATAATGTTAGTTTTCAAACATAGGAAAATCAGGTACATATTATATATCAGTGACTATTCAAAGTGGTTTGAAGATGAAACAGAAGTAGGAGATCCACTTAATAAATGACGGATACCATGCCAGATTAAAACATGGCTTATCTGAGGTATTACCTGCAGCAACTTGAGGCACTTGGCTAAGTATCTCTTGACTTCTGGATCTGAGCCCGGTTTGAGACTGAGTGAGAGATGAGTGAGATGCTTGAAAGGGTTGGTCTCAACTACACCAAGCTGAGCTAGGCCATGAGACGAGCCGGCTAGATCCCCTGACTGATTCAGCTGAAGCACAAACCTATGGGTATTAAAAAGTCCAAAGATATGAAAAATCAGATGAGTGAGATGTTTTAAAGGGTTGGTCTCAACTACTGTACACTAAGCTGAGCCAGGCCATGAGTTCAGCTATTTAAATCCCCTGACTAGTTCAACTAAAGCATAAACCTTTGGGAGTTTTATGGTCCAAAGACATCAATTTTAAAATTACATCATGAAAAATCAGCCCAAAAGCTGTTGCACAGCACAATTATCCGAGTACAATATTGCTATGAAATATCTTCAACATTATTTCTTTAGTTCAGCCTCTATAATTTTATGGTAATTTTGTAAAGAATTATCAATAATCTTATGGCTTTCAGGAAATGTAATTCCTCCATTCTAAGCTGATGAATGAACAATTCAACTAGTTTCATAATGATGTCAAAATGTAAATAGAATGAAGTGTATAGATGGTCAAAAAGTCTTTACAAATAACCCCCTGCAAGCCTACTAGTTACAGCATACATGGTCATGTTTCCTGAAAATAAAGACATGTGCATATCAAACTTGTGGCAGCATGATATGAAATCATCACTAAATATATATACGGTACTAGAACTATGAAAATACATCTTCAACTTCAATCTCTAGACACTTACTTGCCATGCGCCTGGCCTTGGTTCTGTGCACATAACTGCAAGAGTTCAATGAACTTTTGTGGGAATGCACTAAAATCCACCAGCAACCCTTGCTGATTCTTCAACCTGTGATGGAATTTAAAAGGAAACAAGTACAATCATCGAAAATAATATCGCTAGTGATATTCGTTTGTCTCGCAATGTGGTCAATAAGGAATCTAAAAGATCACTATGTTTTGTGCGCTATCTGCAACACTTCGTCAGGTGATAAAAACTAATGTAAGTAAGGGTCTTTTATACTTTACGGGAGGACCGGCGGAGCGGTCTATAATTCGATCGATAATTGGAACAATAACGCACAATGCCTATTGGTCGACGCACACGGTGATCGACCAATCACCAGGCCGCTGGTTCGGCCGCTGGTTCGGCTAATGCACCAGGCCTATTGACCGACGCATACGCTGCTCAAGTGTCATGGCGGCGTAGCGTCCACATCCAAAATTCGGGGATAGCACACGAAACGTCGTGATCTTTTAGATTCCTTATTGACCACATTGCGAGACAAACAAATATCACTAGCGATATTATTTTCGATACTACATCTGCAATTAGTAATATATTTAGCATTAAGTACAATCATATTTTATATTTTATTATCTATTACAATCAGATGCATTTTATTGCAAGAGCTATCTTGATATGTGTCTAAAACATAACAATGACTCTTGATTAAACAAGGGTTTATGATCCAATAAGACTAAAAGTAGTTTTTCGAAAGATACAGGTGAAACAAATAGGTTATATTCTGAGTTAGCCCTTATTTTGAATGTTTTTGTAACCTCTACCCCTCAATTTGTATCCTTTTTTTACCCTTGAAACAAATCAATGTTTCAAACTATGATTGAGGTTTAAACCATCTGTATGAAGTCACATGAATAGGGTTGTTACTATTCTCAATTGTTAATCTCCAATTAAATATTTCTCTACAACCAAGGCCCCCATCTCACAAAAATGTCTTAAGTCTATGTTCATGGACACCCCACTGAAATATTTGATATAAAGTTTTATTGCATATTATGAAACTACACATTTCAATGGGGAGGTCCAGAAACTGTACATTGATTCTGTGAGACAAGCCCCTGGCTTGGAAAGTTGGAATGCCTTAAAGCCCCACTACACTAGTTTGGCCAGGAGGGATTAGACCTCCCTGCATGGTCACTGACAGGTGGTTATCTCATCAAATCAGCTCTCAATTAACGTAAGAAAAAAGGGACCGTGGGGGGACCAATGGTCACCGATTAGGCATTGTTTGCTATATAGAGGGCGCAAGTAGGAGTCAGTGGTGCAGTGGGGCTTTAAATGTTGTCTCTTACACTTGGAAATCCTCCTCTCCGAGGTGAAGATCGTAGAGAAAGAAAGGATCTGCGTCATCTGTCAATCTAACATGGAGCTCCTGGTGAGGGAAAAGGAACAGAATATCTTACAATAGTTGCAGCCTCAGGGCTCCCCACTAATACTCTATATGGGATACTGTACCTACTTTCCTGGACAATGCTAAGGACAATGGGTGGTATTCCGGTAGCGCGTACTAAGTTAGCGCGTACTTAGTTAGTTCACACTTTTACGGAGTGCCTGTTGCAAACTAATTTACCCTGTACAGATTATTTTAATCCTTCAATGAAAAGTGTCCAAAAAATTAATTTTGCAATGAAATAGGAAGAAAAAGATAATATGAGTATGAAATGAATTTCAACAAAGTCTTTGGTAGATTATCTTTGTCATGAATATTGAAGGAGGAAGATGAAACCTAGCATTCCATAGAAGTGTGAACTAAAATTCTTGTTTAGTCTGGACTTAGTCCCGGCTTAACTTATGAGAATACCACCCAATGCTAAGATTACCAAGAGTCCTTTTCAGGACTCCCCAATCCTCCCCCTCTCTCACATGGTGCAACTGCAAGCCTACTGTAAATGCTAAGGACTTGATCAAACAAGGCACCTTACAGTTTGTCCTTTGATATTTTCAAATCTTACCGGTATTCAATTCAGAAAATATGCAAATAGTAGATATTAACCTAATATCATAAGTCAGTGTTATATATCTACAAGTTATGCTTTATGTATAAAATCAACAATTCCATAGCAATAGCACTTTCTTGTGTTGCTTTTGGCGAGATGCCAAATAAGCATACCTTTCTGTGAATAGGTGATGTAACAGAAACCAGTTCAAGAAATATCCTGATTCCAACAGTCCTGAAAAATAAGGAAACAAAGTCAATGTCATGAAACATTACAAATTATAAAAAATCAGTCCTAGTTGGTGATCAAAATCCATGCTGATTTAAACCATCAATTTGTACAAAAATTGGTTTATTAGATTAAAAAATACGAGCAATTTAAGCTGTAGGAAAATATGAATTGAACAACCTTAAAATTAGTAGTATACACATTTACTTAGGGATTTATCAATGCTATCTGATATGCATGAATTGCCACAAACACTTGAATCACAACATAAGAGGGGGAAATCTCGTAACTTTCCCTCTGCCTGGCTGGAGCATTCCAACGTAAACAACTCTTCAGGCAGTCTCAGATATTCCATTTAAGTAAATTCTAGTCAAATTTACAAAATTTACAAAAATGAATGGCAAATTCATGCTGGTAGAATGCTAGACCGAATTTCTGTCTCTTTCGTTCGTTAAGCCTCTTATTTGGGTAGAGTCGGATCTAAAGAGAGAGCCGACCCTACCCAAATAAGAGGCTCTAAAAAGAGAGACGACCCTACCCAAATAAGAGGCTCTAAAGAGAGAGCCGACCCTACCCAAATAAGAGGCTTAACGAACAAAAGAGACAGAAAATTCGGTCTAGTAGAATGCTAGTGAAGATGACTGGCAAATAGACCTCACAAAACACTGCATGACACTTACAAGGCTCTGGTGACAACTTAAAAACAACAAAATCACACTTATGACTGGACTCAATTTTCAAATCATAAACAAGGACTTGTTTCACAGTTCATTTAAACAACTCAACAAATTATATTTTGGACCCCCAGTTTATAAAAAGAAAAAAAAAGAGAGTAGGTCTAGGTGACAGGTCTAGTCTGTACTTTGTAGAGCCCTGAAACGCAGACAGCCTACTCACCTATCGTCTTGGCCTTGTGATTTGAAGACAACGCTAAGAACTTGATCAAACATAGCACCTTCCATGTTGTTGTAGATCTATATTATAACCGCAGTCTAAAACTGAAAATCAGAGAGACAGAAAAGAATCATTCACAGACACATAGTCTATGAGTATGACAAAGACTAGATAAATTTAGATCTACAAAGTCAATGAAGCAAATTATCGAGATCTAGTAGTTGATGTAATATTGAGCAATCAGCAATGTTCATTCAAAGACAAAGAAACAAACTGAATTTAAAAAGTAGGCCTTGCTTAGAATCGGACCTTAGAATCAAGCTGGCTGGGCCAGTCGGGCAGCTTTGCCCTTGATCAGCTCCACGTAGATCTACAGTGGCATTACAAAGGCGAGCAGCAAGATTCACCCTCCAGAGATATCATCGTATGGCCATTGTCTCGGCCATGATTCAACATCTGAAATGGGAGAGCCTGGAGAGGAGAAGAAATGCTGCAAGCCTCCACCTCATGTACAAGATCCAAACAATGCACACCATTACACAGCACCCATGATTGCCAGCAACACACGACAGTATCACTCAAAAAAGTTGCTGGCTATCCCATCCCGCACCCAACTCTACCAGAACTCATTTTTCCCTCGGACAGTAACTGCGTGAAATGCACTTTCAAACTCAAAGATCACCCTTGCTAGAGGGCTTCAAGGGAGCGCTTCCACCCAGCATCTATTTCTAGACCAAGAACTAGATCTAGATGGATCTAGATGGACTTATGGATCCTGCCGAGTATCGTCGTAGTAGTAGAAGTAGAGTTACGGCGCTAGTGTAGCAAGGTATCCAAAATATAGCCTACTAAAACAGACCCCAAATTTTGTGGTCATCATTACCCTAACCCTAACCCTAACCCTAACCCTGGCCTAGAGATAATGATAAACACGAAATTTGGGGTCTAAAATTTGAGGTCTGTTTTAGTAGGCTATATTTTGGATACCTTGCTACACTAGCGCCGAAGTTACCAGTACAGCTACAGTCCACTGCACTGTCACTGTGTATCACAGGCAGCTCAGTACCGTCAGACAACGGTAGAGGACACTTAATTTACCCGGACCAGCGGCGCTGTCAACGGCTGTTTGGCTGGCTTACACTGCGCGGAGCGGCGGTTAACAATCTACTTTAGAAACGTCCGTTCCCGACATTCATTTATTCATATATTAAATAAAATGTGACATAAATTATGTGTGATATGATTCTTACTCTTAGAAGAAATATTGATAACAATTCTAAATAAATTAATAATATTTGCATACCTTTTTCATGAAACAACGGCTTTTCTTATTTTACTTCCTACGGCTCCGACTCGAGAATGAAAACAAGAAATCAAAAATCGCGCGTTGAGACTGAAGTAATTTACTATTTTCGGACACTAAGGTATCTTCAACAACAACAAAAAAACATTGTTGTTTGTCGGCGTTTCATTCTTTTTTAGAATATTTACGCCTTTCACTTTATTTCTTTTTTTCTTCTAATTTTTGGTACTTAAATTCATACTCTTCTCTTTTTTTTTTAGATAATATAATCTCAGTTATCAATATGTTGTTATAATATACCCTGTGATTTTTTTTCCCAATTAGGCCTGCTTGATGACACTGCAACTGCTATCATAATAAATTTTACTCGGGTGATTTACTTCGGGATATCCTATCATCAGATGAGCAATTTACTGATATTATGATTTTTCTCATTTCAGCATGCTGCTTGCTTAATTGGCTATGTAGGCTAAGTTTAAATTTACCATCGTCACCAAAGTACAAAATATAAGAATAAGTTATTATTTTGCTTGTACCTTGATGCCTATAGGATAGGAACATCCTTTTCTGTGAACTTTGTGAGCGACGAGAAAGATAGCATACTGCAAGAGGAAGAGATAGATAGAGAGAGAGAGAGAGAGAGAGAGATTTTGGAGGAGGGGGTGGGGCGATTGCATGACATTATTTCATTCGATCTCTGGCCATATAGACTGCATGAAAAATTGCATTTTTGTTGATTGTTGAATATATTACGTCTATAGACAAATTTATTGGGGCCGCGGAGGGTTTGGGGGCCGGGGGGGGGGGGGTGTTCATGTTTTGAAAATATCTCCGCGTTTACTTGACAAGAGTCTTCTTTTTCGTTGCTAGGCTTTTTCTTAAACCACATACATTAATAAGCCTATACGCTCGTTTGCCCTACTTTGCATTCGAAATAAAGAAAATTAAACGGAATAAAAATAGGCTTGTGATCAAGATCTCTATCTATCTCTATCTACAATATCATTGATTGATGCTCCTCTTTATCACATTTCTTATGGTAAGCCTATATTTTATGACACTTTACGACCTCTGTATTTTGTTTGTGCACAAGGACCGTCATATCTCGTCCATATTTTTGGGGGTATTATTTGCCTAATTTTGAAAATTTGATAATTATTGTCTATATAGACATAATAATAGTCAGGGGCGTCGCTAGACCTTTTTCAGTGGGGGGGGGGGGTGTAGAGGCCACAGATTACCGACAAAACTAGCCACCAATTACCGACAAATATATTAATGCCAATGTCCAAATGTCTACAAATTTAACCCTATATAACCCGGGCCAGGTGCTCAATTATTTTTCAGTCCCCCTCCCGATGTTACATTTCATTAGATTATTAGAGAGAGAAGACGATTGGTATTCCGTTCCAGACTCTTAATCCTTGTTTAAATTCATTTTCCCCCTCCCGCGCGAACCGCGAAAGCTTTGCCGTTTCATTAAATCATTAGAGAAAGAAGACGATCCCTTGGATACCGACACTTAATCATGTTTGAACTTGCAAAACTGTTTCTTTGTCCGATAAAAAGTCACAGTTCGGAGGGAAGGGGGAAAAATTGCCGGCCGACCGACATAATACATCTCACCGACTTTGAACTTCTGCACTGATGAGGATCGACCAAGAATACGTACAGCGGACCCGATACATCAACATAATTATCTGTATCTTGTTTTCTCCCTCGACGTGGCGACTCCATCCAACATCCCTCCTCTTCTCTAAGGCCCTTACCCCTCTCTCTTTCTCCTCTAATTGACACCCCTTTTCTTTTGTTTTCATATTTCTCTTTTTTCTTCTTCCTTTTTTCCTTTTTTTCCTCTTCTTTCTTTTTCTTTCTTTCCTCTCCTTTCTCTTTTTAACTCTTTCTTTCTTCTCTCCTCTTTCCTTTCTTTTCCTTTTCTTTTTTTCCTTTCCCTCTCATTCCCCCTCCCCTTTTTTCATTTTTCCCGACAGCAGTGCAATTTTACCGACAATATCATGACAGGGGGGGGGGGGGGGTGTCGCACCCATATAGCTCCGTTTAGTCTCATTTCACAACGCCCCCTATCGTCAAAGTCAGCAGCCTTACATGTTATAATAGCCTATGGAATTTTACCCCCAAAGTCGTTCAAAATTCATTTTTTTTGTTTAAACAAAAAGCACATCCACCCGACGTACGTTAGGCACTAGCTCTTTCATTGGAACCCTCATGTCCCATTGACTTTTGAAAGTTCACCCACCGTAATTTGATCAAAATAGGTTGCAAGCTCGTCATTGCCTATAATACACATGTGAAACAAGTCAAACTTTGGACTCAGTTTGCCAGCGATTTTAAGATTAGGGTCAAGCACACGAAGGATAAGAAGCATTAATTATCATAGAACACTTCTTTTTGGTGTCCATTTCATCCAACCCCCCACCGTCATTTTTCCATTTAGGAAAAGCAAACATTTTGCCGAGTAAGCAAAAAACATGAATATTCATGAACGGTCAGACAATACAGTCTTTTAGTACGTATAGTGAATGGGAATGGGCGATGATCCGTCCAGGAGGTAAATAAATAAATAAATAATATGGTTATTTATATAGCGCCGGTATCCGTCAGGTTCTGACGCTCATGGTGCTTTACACATATTACCCTGGTCGTAGCAGAGCTGCCAAAGTAACTAGCGCTCAAGCATATCAGGTACCCATTTACACCTGGGTGGAGAGGTCAGTGGTTTAAGCTGGCAATGTTCCAGCGAGCAAAAATGAGACAACCGGAGCAATATGCCCCCCCCCCCCCTTAGCGACGCCCCTGATTATAGTAAAAATTCATCTCGACTCAAGGACGGTCGGAATTTAAAAAAAGGAAAAAAAGGGTAAGAAGTTATTTTGACATCATTCCATCTTTATTATCATCCTCATCTAATGTTGAATTGGAAGTGAAAGATTAATTTATCCTCATTATGACGTGTATACAATGCAATGGCTCTGATCACTCTCTATGTATTTTCTTCAACTGCTCTACCCTTCTCCTTTGCCTACCGTAGGACCTCTTCTAATCTCTCGCCCTGTCGGCCTCTTGCCTCAATTTAAAAGAAACAACTGATTTCGTGTTTATAACCTACTCCCTAAAGATTTTGCATTATAAATAACCTTCAACCAATTACTGCAATATCTATGGTTTTAATATGATAGTTTTTTTGTTGTTGTACATTGACTTGTAACGTATATAATTATAGTGAAAACTAATTTCCCAATGGACCAGGGGCGGGCGATTTCTTTTCATGACGGGGGGGGGGGGGGGGGGGGGGGGGGGGGGGGGGGGGGGGGGGG